GCGCCAGTCTCATAGTCCAAAATGAATATGTCGCTTGGATGACAGTCGAAAAGCGGCAGCGACAATGCATCCAGGAAAGCCAGCGTGTCAGCTAAAAACGTCAGGGCAGCGACAAGGTTGCACCCAATCGGCTGCAAAAGAACATCTCTCATGGTTACAGTACTTGGAACAAACTCCCACACCGAAAATGTAGCAGGCCCCGCGAACCAGCCCAACAAGGGACAAAGGCACGAATGGCGCACCATCTCATTGCAAACTTCATTTCGCTTTGGATTGCTGCAGCGTTGTGATAATAGCCAAGGGGATTACCAAGCTTGGGCACTTTCACGGCGACTGGCAAGCCTTGCACGTGTCCTTTGAAAACTTGTCCGATGCATCCGCTGCCAAGCTCCGGGCCCCACTCCAGATCTTGCAAGCTGAGTCCGCTGAAAACCTCACGCTGGGCAAGATTTAAGAACTCTGCATGCACAGAGTGCCGCAATCGCCGTCTCTTGTCAACCTCATTGATGACCAGCTCGGTGGAAGCCAAAAGTGCGATTGCCAGCACCGAAGTTGCATGGCAAACAGCACCATCTGTTTCGACAAGCATTGCTGAAGACACTCAATTGCAATCGTGTTGTGAGTCGCATATGGCCTATATACAGCTTGAAACTCCTTGTGCCAGCTGTCGTTACTGGGAGAGGCTGTGAACAATTGGGTCCTAAAGTGAGTGGATCTTGACTTGCAGGTGAATTTCAAACAACTGGTTCTGCCTCGTCGTCGTAGCACTTTCAGGATGTGGACACAACGGCAAGCCCAATAGCTGAAAAGACTTCAGACTGCGGGGCAGCGGATTGAAAACTGATGCTGTGCCTTGTGCTTTCTCACTGCTCACTGGGATCTGCAACCGTCACTAATGACAAACTGCACGTGCATAACCTGAAGCATGACTGTACTTCAAGGAAAACCAAAGTCTCTCCGCGCACAATCTACGGTGCATATGACTTCACAGTCAAACACACAACCTTCGAAAAAATCCTGCCCTGTCATGTCCTCTTTGCCGCAGCTTTGCCATCAAGGCTTCGCCACAGAACTCGAAGAAGTCGCAGTCCCGATGCCCGATGCCCTAAACTCAAAACAAAGCCCCTTTCAGGAACTTCCTGCGCCGATGTCGCGAAGTGATACTGCTATCTCGGGGTTCTTAGTCTTGGTGGAACTTTCTGGGTCCTACAGGAAAGTATAGTCATGTGGTGGTTGTTGGCAGCCCGCGCTCAGTCAGTCAGTCAGTCATACGCCGGGCGGCGCGTGGACAGGTAAACTCGCTCACCGCACGATTCCAGACAAGAGGATTCTGTACAAGCCTGGTTATCTCACGGTGGCTTCCAAGGAATTGACATGCTTTGTCCCTAACAAATGTGACCCATTCTCGTCGCGGCCTCCCCACCCTTCTCACATACATACTTGTGGCAGGCTGCAGCGTTCCACGAATAAATGCAGAGCTGTGCAAGGGGTGGTCGTGTGCAGATCGCAGTACTCTACCCAAAAGGACGAGTTGTCGTTTCAACAACATGTCTGTAGCAGCGGGGTAACAAGCTCTGCGCAAAACTTCTGTATTGGGCACTCTCGAGATGAAAGCGGGTGGGATGCCGAATATACTTCTCAAGCAACGGTTTTGAAAGCCATCAAGACGCCGACGATCCGCGGATGATAAACACAACCAGCTCAGGGAATACATGAGCTTCGATTCAATAAGAGCTTTATAGATTTGAACCTTCCGGTCCCGAGATAATGAAGAATGTTTCCAAACTTTTTGGAGCTCCAGAAAGTCCCGTTTTGCCATCCCGATTCTCCGACCCAATTCATGACCAGGTAGCCCATCATAACTGAGAACAGATCCCAAATATTCAATGCCCAGTTTTGGTGAAATATGTTCACCCGTCGGAGTCCGAATCTTTGCTTGACATTGTACTTGTAGCAATTGAAACTTATCCCAGTGAAGCTCCATGCCATACAACAGCCCTGCATCTGCGACCTGAGATAGATAGTCCTGCAAATGACGGTCGGGCGTGCCAAGCAGCAATGTATCAACGGGATAAAGAATATCGGCTAAATCCCCACGATTGTATGCAAGCAGTGCAGCACCACTTAGGTTTGAAACAGCATCGTGCATCAAGACCGTCATGACGATGATAAATATCAGCGGGCCCAAAGTGCATCCTTGCGAAATGCCAGAATTCTGCGATTTTAAGGTGGATTTGATGCCTTGGTCTTCGACATAAAACCTACGATGCCGCATCATGTTGTGAATCACTTGCCGACAAAAGTCAGGAATACCGAAACGGCGCAATGCATCAAGAAGGCTGTCCAAGTTGATACTGTCAAAAGCTTTCTTCCAATCGAGGGCCAATAAGCGGATCTGACCATCTCGTTGGGCACAAGCTTGTTCGATTTTTTCGCAAAGCAACGAACATGGCATCTTCGGTGCAATGACCCTCTCTAAATCCAAATTGTGATTTCCAAAGCCTGGTATGTACACCTGCGTCAAGGAGCCGTTGTTTGAGGAGGGACGCAAACAGTTTGTACGCAATACTCTGCAAGCAAATTGGTCGATAGTTGTTCGGATCGGCCGGGTCTCCTTTTTTGAATAACATTGCAACTGAAGCTGTGGACCATTCATCGGGAACGGTGGCAGCTCGCCAGCAATGGTTGCAAAGGTCCAACAGCCATTGTAAGGATGAGTCGGGTTCCATGGCCAAGACCTTGAAAACCTCCACGGGAATATCATCTGTTTTCGTTGCCTTACCGCTGGCCATTTTTGATATAGCTTTCCTGAGCTCGGTGTGGCTGAAATCCGACCTGCTGACGTGGAAAACTTCACCCAAATTCGACCGCTGTCCAGGAATCAATGTCGTTGGACGAACTTTCCATTGAACTTTTTCGAGGTGCTCAGTTAATGTTGCTGCTCGCAGTTCAGATGAGAGACAAACTCGCCATCACTGTTTTTCAATCGCCCCTGCTTGGTGATCCGACCCTTGCGGAGCTTTTTAATCGATTTCCAATCCCCGGAAGATGCCAAATCCTCGAGCCATTTAGAGCGGTCCTTCTTTGCTGATTTCTTGACCTCCTTCTGCAAGTGTTTCTCAAGGTTCCAGTTTCCATTTACTCGAGCATCACGCTTTTGATTCAGGAGGTCCAGGGTGTCGGAACTGATCCATGGTTTGTTGGCTCTCGTGCTCTCGATGGGTACGTATCGCAAGATCGCAGCCGCCACTGAAGAACAAGCACGATCCCAGAAATGGTTCACATCCACACTCTCATCATGGCTCAGCTTCGCGGAGATATGCTCAGAGAATGCGCGTCGGAGAGTAGGATTTTGCAATGCTGACCAATCCATGCGCAAAGCTTTCTTGCGAACATGATTCTGAGATGCAACATCAACATGTAATATGCCTGTAACCGGAAAATGGCTGGAAGCCAATGGGGCCATACGATCACGGAAAACATTGCGCACTGTGTTCAAATCGCGCTGTGACGTAAGCAATAAGTCCAACATGGTGAATTTGTTTGCACAAATAGGTGCGAGAGCTGGGATTCCTGGTTCGCGGTATGTGACCTTCTGGTCATCTGGTCTGTTGCAGAAAGTGTTAGCTATTCCCAAATCGTGAGCAGTGCAGAATTCGAGGAGAAAGTCTCGGTTTGGCATTTCGACTCGATGTTGAGCTTCGACTCCAAAAACAGTGTGGACCGATCACATTCTGTTCTCCAGGACGTGGATGCCCAATACGCGCATTGAAATCACCGAAGACGAACTTTGGACCGCTTACCGATGTCAGCCCGCGCTACTACTGCCCAAAACGGGGTTGATAATGCTCTTCACCTCCTTGTTCCGCCTTCTTGGGTTGGCGAATCCAAATCGTATCCAAAGCCCTATCCAAACCGCTATCTCCGTCCCATTACGGCGATGCAAGGCGAAAGCTTCCTCTGTCTGAGCTGACGACACCGCTCGCTGTTGCCTCTCTTTCAAAAGATGCGAGCGACGGCTAAAACTTTTGGTGGTTTCGTGTCCGCGAATGCGGCGGCAAATGCTGGCGCTCCTATTCCCGGCCAGTGGCTGCGCCTGTTCGTTTCGGCTCATGGTGTGGCCTCATGTGGAGGCTGGAGAGTGGAGAGTGGTAGCTAGCACTGAAGCCCAAACCTCCCCAGCAGGCCAGGACAAGTCTGGTTGCTTTATGGCACAGAAACACAGCGGCAACCAGATCTTCTGAGTTGATAGGCATCATGATTTGAGGCGCAGGGTGTAGAAGACAGTGACACCACTGACGGCATGTCAGTGTTGATGTGCGACTGCCCAACCACAAGCCGGCAGCGGCAAAGCATGTCGAACTCGTTGCTTCCCTCCGAGGTAAAGATGGCTGAACTCATCACGTGGAATGCCACCAACAAAAGACGACGAAGCAAAGTCTCAACTGAAGCACGGGCATGGCCGAAAAATGAACAGGAGGAGGAGGAGGAGGCAGCGGAAGTACAAAACAAACAACGACTTGATTGAGCCTGCGAAAAAGCTCATAAGGTCATGTTACGGTACTGTAACTCGTTTCACCAAGCAAAACAAAACGCGACTCAGGACCCACTATCACATCACAAAATTTGAAAGGCATGGATGAAATGGATAACTCTCTGCAGCCCCCCATCTGAGCCCTCAAGTTCGTCAACCGCTGAAGAGAGACTACAGCGTCACCGGCTCTGCTCAACAAATTCAGGAAGTTCAGCATCTGTGATTTGTTGCAAGCTCTTCAAGGCTTGAATAGTTTCGGGCAGCTGTCTTGCACCGTAGACAGATGATGACGTGGAACGTGCTTCGCAAACAGGCAGCCAACACCAAGATGAAGAAATCTCAGGCCCCATTGAGAGTGGAAGCTAATGTAAACTAGGAAAACCTCCCCGCGGCTTGCACCCGCCTGGAAGAGGATGTGGTAGACCTCGCCCGCTGTAAGCATGGTACGCCCGCCAAGTCGCCACTGCTACTTCCAACACGACGAGGCACATCCAATCTGTGAGAAGCTCTTGACCTTCTGCCCATCCAGTGACCAGAAGCCTTTGGTGCCCTCCTGTCGAATGAGCCGTCGAGAAAGGCTGATCTGTCTTTCAGAATAGTGGTCTTTGCACCCACCGACACGGCTGTCAGACTTCTCCTACTTCTAAGTGCGCTGGTCTGTCAGGCTACAAGGAGCTGGCAGCGCCTTTTCGGACAGCATGCATCAATACCACAGTAGAAATCGGGACATGAGGGCGAAAAAGCTCGTTCCGGCTTCATGGCACCCCCGCACCTCCTCGTTCCAGAAGAGTCGTGAAGGGACCAGGGCCACTACCGGAGACTTGCCGCAGAGCGCTGCTAGCTCGCTGCCAACCCGCACCTGGCGATTTGCCCGTCAGCAACACTCGGCTGCTGAACTTCTCTATCCTTGCTCGCATGGTGAGTGTAATGGGATCACATGGGTCGGATCCATGGCTCCCACGGCAGCATTCCGGCTCAGGGTCGCAATGATAGCTTGCAGCCATTGCACACGGCAGACGATGCGGTCACCGCCCTGGTAACTTCGCTGGTCGATGGCCAGCACATCGGTGATGTTGCATAAAGATGTCAATATGGAGTTGACCTCACCACACAAAGAGACGGGGCAGTCGATTCTTCGATGTTATCTTTCGACATGAAGGGTGCCGCTTTGACCGATGTCCGGGAGCCCCCGAGTCACTGCGAACAAAGCGGCGGTCACGCATTGCCCCGGCCGCTCCTCGGGAGAAGAGGCCAAGAGGGGTCGCGAAGAGGCGCTGCAACGAGACTCCGCTGAGACTAGAAGCAAACGACGACACTCCACGCGCGTGAAGGCCGGAAACCGCAGCCTGGAGGCTAAGGCCTCGTAGGCGATTCGAAGCTCTGCTGCAGTACATCTGGCCGGCAGGATCCCGCCAAAGGATGACAAACCTGCTGTGGACCTACAGGGAGCTCCAACAGCGAAACTCGAACCAGACCACCAGACCCTCGTAGAAGCCAGGATGCTTCATGGTTGGCACTTTCGTCATGGGAGCACCTCAGCATGTTCCGCTCGATCGTCAATAGCTCGAGCTGTGGGAATCGGCGAACATGTTGCAAAACAAAAGCTGGCTTAGGTCCGAGACAACTTCGCAGCAGATACTTTTTGCATGCAGTTGGACGACGTGAAGCCAAGGCAAGCGGCTCTGCCGTTTGGCGGCGCTGTCCAAGGCGGCTTTCGCCTTCGAGGCGGCTTTCGCCTTCCTGTGTTGACCAGGGTCTGCACCACGAAACGTAGGTTCGGGAAAGCGTCGCAGAATCCACCGACAAAAATCAAACCCAAAACTTACTCACCGCCTTAGACCCAAGTTTCACTTTGGGAAGCGCCCGCAAAGTAGGAGCAGGTCGGTCACCTTCTTTGATTACGTAGCGCTGGAATTCCTCAGCATGCCAACACGTTGACTGCAAGAATCTGACTGGTTAACAGAAAAATGCAAGCTGCCTAAGCAATTCCGCACCGATCTCTTTTCAGGTGGATGTGGCCTTGTGCAATCTTCAAGAGACGTGTCCATGACCCGAGACCGACCCAAGGCAGCGAAGGGTCTTCAAAGGACAGCGCACGGTCACGGTCACCTGGCGACCTCATGCTGGCAGTGGCGTTGAAGTTTTTGCACATCTTTGCACTTGCCCCCTCAGCCGAGACGCAGCTCTGCCGCAAGGTCTTCAAGACTCTTGTCAACTGGCTTGCATAGGAAAACGATGATGGCCTCATGACTCATGACTCATGCATGAGCTAGCCAACGGGCACGCTCGGGGTGCCAGGCAAACTCTTCCAGCGAAAAGCCGGTACCTGCAGGAGAGCACAGCAGTCAAGTGGAATCCTCCCGGCATCTTTGTGTGATTTTTCATGTTGCACTGCCACTGCTACCCTTCGAGGCCAGATGTCGTGCAGTTCGCGATTTATTCGGGCCATGATGGGGCACCTTATCCCTTGTCCCCGGAGCTCAACACCGCAACGCATGGGGCACCATCCTCGGGCATTTTCAGCCTCCGCCGACCAGAAGCGCCCTGGATCGAGAATTCAATTCCGCAGGCGCGGGAGGCGCTTTAAGGGGGCGGCTTGGGGCTTGAAGTGAGACAGCGGACTATCTGCGGCTACGGCTCCGCCCACAGAAATCAACGAGGGCTTGCAGCAACAGCTTCACCGGAAACACTAACCGACTTGCAGAAAGACCGGGATTCACAGGCACGTATGCTGCCTGGTCAGGCGTAGTGACGGCCGCCACGAACTCAGCCACTTGTGCCTTCTGGACTTCAAGCAGTTCGGAGATCTTCTCAGCCTGCCAAGATGGTGTTTAGTTCGGAGGCTTCAGCTGTCACTGCAACCTGGTGCTTGTGTGTAGGAGTGTGATACCGGCCGATGCCTGAATCCGTCCAGCGGAACCAGTATCAATTTCAGCCTCATCGCCGTCATCCCAAGGCGACCTGTCAGCCACGTAGAGCAGGGCTCAGTAGCTACTTGAAGTCTCAAGTGTTGTCTCTGCCAAACGCTCCGTAATTCACTCTAACCCAAGCGTGCCTCAACACTTCGCTCATCAAACCAGCGACAGAGAAGTAGCCGAGCCTCAGCTGCTCTGCTGCTAGTTGCGCCGTGCTGTGCGCTGAGATGCGCTGCACTTTCAAGCATCTGCATCCGCTCTGCCCGCGCACTCCGGCCCGCTCCAGACAGACACCCCGATTCTAGTCCAGCAGCAGAATGCGCCGTCTCATAGTGCCGAAAGAAACTCGTGGAGCGACCTGTTCACACACAGCCTCACCGCCTTACCAGTCGCGTCCGACTAAGCGATGAAGGGAGGCAGACATAAGGAGAAGGAATAATCTTGGATGATTCCGGCAAGTATCAGGGATCCTGTTTTTCTAGGAAGTACAAGGTCTCGACTTGCCTCAGCAAATGTCTGCTTGATCCTCGTCGCTGACGTTGTCTCAGCCGTCATTGTAGCCAGACCTGCAGCTGCATAACTGGCAAATGTGATGCTGCACAAGGTTCAAGACATTTAAACTGGCTTGTATGAGAAGGACATGGGAGCTAGCCCGTTTCTTGAGGTGTGACACTTTCCGCGTGCTTCCATTGCTGACTCCTTCGCCCTGCCTGCGAATAGCCGACGGCACCTCGCTTGAACATCCTCAGCTTGATCGGATGTTAAACACCCCGAGATGCAATGTTGCTTTAGTCCAGCAACCGCTTTTGCAACAAGGACCGCGAGCTGCTCTGCATCCTTCGGATGCAGTCGTGTCAACGGGACATCATGTTCTTGCATCCCGATCGCAATGCTGCAGTTCTCAGGGTCCTCCTCCTCTGATGCTGATGCTGCTGCTGCAAATGGCACAGCACCGTTGGATATCGCGAGACCCACTTTCCTTCAAAATGCGCTCATACGAAGCACTGACGCACCCACTCCATTCTTGCCAAAGCACTGATCTAGGAGCAAAAGCCGAGCATGCCAGTTGCGAAACCTTGACCACATTGCATTGCAACGATGGCAACGAATCACGTGAATCACATGGCCCTGTAACAATCGCTGTTGAAAACAAGCACGGTCGGAAATCCTGCTTGTACCAAAGCTCGTTTCCTGCCCTAGAGAACCAAGCAACTGTTCTTCCGTCAACTCAGCCAGCGCCGCTGTTTCCGCCGTCGTGTGCGCAGCAAATGCAGCCTCTCAGGTGTGGACATGCCAATCTGGCATTCCGGAAGCGAACCCATTTTCAAAACTTCAGGGCGGGATCACATAAAGAAGGATCCCCTTGACAGGGCCCTGACATGCGATCGTCAGAGCCTGTGCGACTCAGCTGCAAGCACCCCCCCGCCGGTTACAGCTGCCAAGTACCCTGAAGAGCGCTGGCCTCGACTGAAGCATAGTGGGTAAAGACCTGTCTCCGAAACGTTGCCAGCTCCTGTCCAGCACCAACTCACACAACATCCAGTCTCTGGAGCTACCCCTTGTGCACCTGGCCATCCTTCACGACAGCCGACGATGCCATGCAAGCGCCCGCAAGCCAGGATTACATTGCCGTACCGTTGTTGAGTTATGCATTCGGATACCTCTTGGTCCAGAGCGAAAGATTTTGCATTCTTCTGGTGCTGAATAGGGCTGGCAATGGTCATGTCGCCAAAGGTACATAGGTGACAGCTGGCTTGTCATGAGCTGTGGCGTGGCACCGCCTTGTCATCTCCAACCTCGAAGCCCGCGTACGGTAGTTACTTACAACATCACAGCGAAACAATGGGTGCTGTCCGAAGTCCAGGCTTACAACAGAACAAGGCCGGATGCTGAGCCCCTCAGCGTAAGGTTCCAACGGCCAAACTCAAGGATATCTCGCCCAGCCGTGCATGCAGCGCAACAACGAAGTCAATGAATCCAAGTACGATGTCATCGATGTTTGCCCGGTTCCCCCGGCAGTTGTGGAGGTGTGTCGGGAACTCTTCCCGCACGTCGACGTGGATCGCAAGACGACGACTTGCTGGTGACTATAGGAGGTGACGAGAGTTCAAGCGCCCGCTTCGACAGACTCGTGCTCCAGCGAACAGAGTCCTTGCCCACAGATCGGGGCAAGGACTCTACGGAGCGAAGGCGACACGAGCTGGACTGCCAGCATTAGACGCTACAGTGCTACAGCATGAACGGTCTGCCAAATGCTGCATTTGGTTGATCCGCTCTGCGTCGCATTGAACACGTCGCTGCACCTGCAGGTCAGTATTATTGCCGTTTTCGTTCGGATCAGGTGTTTTCAAACGCCAGGCGGCACCACCATTAACACAATACCTAGATATAAAATAAAATAAGAAAATACAGATAGTAAAGCTAATAACTGATAATTACAGAATAATATTGAGGAATAATGATATACTAACGTTAATACTCAAAAGCTAATAAAATTATCCTCAAGACAACTAACTAAGCAATCACAACAAATAAACTAATGATAAAGGAGGGCTACTTATTAACATAGGGACAATTTAAAAATTTAATAGCACTAACCACGGTGCGGTAGCAGGGAGCAGTGCGCTGACTGTACAGTTCGGATATCTTTTTCTGCATTCCGGGCCGCTCACCCGGGCAAGGCGAAAGTGCAGGCACCCTGTACTTTTGACATGTGCCTTGAAACCGGGGCTTCTTGTGACAGCCTCTGCAACATGCAATCAGATTTCAGGCAAGGCCGGGTCAAGAGTACCCTCACCCAAACCATGCTGGTAGCAAACGCGGAATCGAATTGAAAAGCCAACCCCATCGAAAGTTCCTGTGGCAAGGAAGGTCAGGAGAAATCTCTCGGCATACATCACCCACAACCCGAATCCCATTCACAGCTAAAACCGGAGGCTGCCTGCTACGGGAAGGTCTGTTGGAGCTTAGCTCAACGGACACGTCGTGGAAAATGCTAATTATGCGGGCCCTCAATGAGCCCTGCAATGCACGCTTCTGCGTGCGCCTACTCTTCAAAGACCAGCATGCCGACAGCTGCCACAGCCATTCGGCTTCTTGCAGGCCCGAAGCTTGGAGTGGTGCAGCTTTTGTCAGCTGCTGTGGCAGAATCGTCATTCCGGCTCCATCACGGATGCTATTCGGAGTAACGTGCTGGCAAGCCCTAGACCTAGACTTTCTGTTCGCACGGTTTCAAACGTCCACCTTCCTCACAAGGCGACAGGATCCAGTACTTCTTCTGGGTCAACCTCGGCCTGAAGACATGAAAGCGAGCACCGTCCAGCCTTTCTTAGAGACAAGCCTAAGACCAAAGACTTGCGCCATTCCCGCCTGTGCCTTCCGTGCTGCCCTCAGCTCCGCCTCTCGCAGCTCTCTTTCAGCGCGAGAAACAACCTCAAGAGGCTCCCGCTTCCGCATGCAAGATTCTGCTAAGTCTCCTTGAGAGAGCTGGGGAGCGTTGACAAAGCCTCATGGGAGCTCGAGCGCTTGCTGGCAAGGCACACGGTAGCAGCCGCCCATGTTCCACCAGATCAACAGAGCGGTCAGGCTGACGACTGCCTGCAGTTGCAGTTGTAGGTCGAGGGTAGCAATCACTGCACATCGCTCCACTCTCCTCCCTTACCACAGCTGCACTAAAAAGAAAAGTGCCATCTGCACCATGCAAAAAGCTTGCCGTAGCCACCCAAAGCCGGAACATTCAACTATGTCGAAATCAGGCGGCCACGGCAAGGGCAGTGATGCCGGCTGCCAAGGACACGCCGAAAAGCAGCGAGATCCCCAGGGCTACGCCTCAAGGAGGGTTTTTCCAGACACCACGCAGTACAAACGACGAACTTTCAGGGCCCTGCCTGGCACAACGAGGAACCTCGGTGTCACTTGATAGTCAAGTGTAACAACCGCCGGTCGCACCTACCTTCCCTTATCTTCTACAGCATGGTACGGCTACAAGCTTTCAAGCATCGAAGAAGATTTGCTTTAGATTGCAGCCGTGGGTCATGATTAAGATGTAAAGCAGCGGCACCATCCGCCAGTAGGAGGCATAGAAGCCTGCAGGAACACATGGAAGCCCACGAACCCACCCGGAGGCCCAGAGACCTTGAAGCTTCCTGGCTGCTTGTTACATTAGGTCGACTGAAACCGAGTCGCCCAGCAGCTTTGCAGCACCCACCACGACACCGCCTGGGCACCACTACTTGAAGGCAAGCTTCCGAAGCTTCAGAGCTTCAGAGCTTCAGAGCTGCTGCGTCACTGCACCTTTTTGCGGATCCGAGTCTCGCATTGCTGGGATGGGGAACCTCCGCTCGAGGGCAAAGCAAAACTCGCTGGGATGAAACAGAATGCGCGCCGAGATTCCAAACTAGAATGCCAAAGATGTTGAAAGCTAGATGACCTGAGCTAGGATTGTGGCGGCAGAGGCATGCAAAAAAACTTGCACCTTCCGCAGACTCTGAGCACGGGGCAGAACGCAATTTGCAAGCCGTCCTCAGTAGGAACACGACTCGAGCGAAGACAGGGACAGCACGGCTAAATCTGGGGAGCCAAGAAGCGTGTTTCAGCTCTGCCAGTGCTGCAAGAAGGGCCGTGAAGGTGGTGCCAATGTTGGCACCTCGGGCCCAAGTGAAAAGAGAAGCTCCCGACTCTCCCAGAACTTTCCGGTCGACGAAGGACAAACGAACAAAACACTCGTGCAAGCGCATCAACCAGTGACCGGATGCATCATGTCATGTAACTGCCGTCTAATCTAACACGTCCCTGCCCGTCGTGCAGATATATCCCGACTGCGGAAAAGCAGATTGGAGCAACTGTGCATATAGGCGGGTGCGTGCCGATATCTGATTTTTGCTTTGGCTAAGGATGACAGCAGGGGCCTGGTTTGGCTAATCTTGATGGCTTCGGGGCTCAGCTTGTGGCGGGTACATGCGTCAGATTGCACGAAGCAGAACTTCGTTGGATAGTGTTCACTTGAAGGCCACTCTTCTCCTACTATTCATAGATTGAGAGCATGAACAATGCGGTGGTATGTATCCATGCACGAGGACAGTGCACTATGCTCGACACCCCGAAAAGCTCGGCGCAAAAGTCGTCTGTTCTGCTGTCAGGCAGGGCTGTGCTCGAAGTAAAAAGACTTCTCTTCTTTTTCGCCACTGGATCGATACATCAAAGCGTTTGTGATCAAGCCGGTACCTTGTGATTGTGAGCTGTGGTCGATTGCGCTGTAGCTCTCGTCGAGGGCTTATTGCTCGTCGCCATTTTGAAAACAATTGTGCAGCGCAGTGCTTGTTGCAACTTCTACAAGATCTGCCGTAACTTTGGAGCCTCAATGACAGTGCCTGCTTGCCTTTGACTAAAGCCGCAACTGCTGTCATACGGCCAATATGCAAACACTGGAGTATCACGATGCGGCCGAAGTTTTCAGGAGACATGAGGCCAAGCTTCCAATCGGTACACAGTGGTTGGATTCGAGGGTGGATGATTTCTGTTGTCGACGGATGCGACAAGGCATGATCGCCTGAAATTTGAAGCTCTCATGGCTGTGGTGCTGAGATGTGCTGAGGTACATGATCTGCTGTCTGTCCAGCATGAATGCCAATGTTGCGGATCTTAGATGCACGTTCGCGTGGATTATCCCTGCCATGATTGTCGGCTCTGGACTGGAGCATCGATGTGAGGTCGCAAGGCCTGCACACCTAGAATCGCGAGGAAGGACGTCGGTGAACTGGGTAGTGTGTTCAGTTCTTGAGGGTTAGTTTGAAAACTTATCAAGCGTCTTCGCAACGGCTTCCAATGCTAGCGGTACTCTTAAAAATGGTTGAAGTTGAATAAGTACATCCTTGTGGATGTGTAGCAATACTTCAAGGACTCGCAAGGGTCTTCAGGAGCAATGAGGCGTTTGAAAGAACTATTCAGCGTCTTTAGAGATGTTTACTGCTTCGCAAAGACCGATTTTCTTCGGTAGGTTTGAAAAGGCTTTCTTCAGGGGTTTTAAGTGGTTCTTCAATGCTCTCAACACATGCTGCAGTCCATGCGTGCATCAATGGACCGCAGATAACACAGTGATGGTTTCTCCAGACCCCGTGCCCCCAGTCCGCGGCACGATGGGCTTTTGACAATAACATGTTCTCTACCCTGCCCGCTTTGAGGCACTGCAGTGTAGCTAAGTCAACAATGCAAGCAGTACCACGGTGCGAAAGGCTCACCAGTAGGAATAATGGTTCTCCGGTGAAGTACTGGAGCCCCTTACTGTTGTTTGGCTGTCTAACCCCTTTGTACCGGTGTGTGTGTGTGTGGGTGTGTGTGTGTAGCAGATGCCGACAGCACAACAGATGATCCGACACTCCAGTACACTCGCAAAGGGCTCGACCAGTGACAAGCTTCATCAAATGTAGCTGCTGGCTAACATGTCCGTGCCTGTTGTTCAAAACTGTTTGCGATGTCATCCACCTTCAAGCATGGCTTCGTTGGACACCGCTGCCTCCCTGCATTCCGCAAACTGAGAGGATGCACAAACCGCACAAAAAACTAGTAACATGGAGCTTGAGAGTCAGCCCCTTCCTGACGGAACGCAGAGACACTCACAAGTAAGACTAGCGCCAAGGGTAACCGGCAGCATCTTCTCCACCTCGGCTGAAGCAAGGCTTCAATCCCGACACCTCACTCAGAGATCTTGAAATCAAGACTCTCGACTCGCTCTGAGGAGTGGGCAGTCATGAGGCCCAAGCCGCAAAGAGGCGTCAGTGCGGAAGTAACCTGGAGCAGCACAGCAGCAAGGCCAAGGCCCAAAGACGAAGACGAAGAAGGGGGCAGGGGTACAGTCTGCACAGTGCAGGACAGTACAGGACCTAAAGCTTCGAGGTCTCGGCTTTCTCGGCTTCCGGAACCCAAGCGGCCCAAGCGGCCAAAGTTTCCCGGACCCCTCCACGTCACTCCGAGAAGCCACGGAGGAGCTCTGGACGACGAAGGTGAGGATTCCCCCGACGCCCATGGCAAGGTAGTCATTCATCGAGGTCGCCCCTGAATTTAGGGGGCTTCAGACTTTGCACTGCTGAGCTTTGGCCAGTGTCAAGCGACTCTCAACAGAAAACCCTGCTCACAAACTCTCGGTGCCCTGATATTGGACGCCAGGGCTCGAAGGATCATGACTTTCGCCTTGCCGATCATCAAGGCGTGCAGAAGCTTCACCAGGCAGAAGAGTGAGAAGCAGATGGCCAGCAGCGAACTCGGCATGTGCCGGGGACATGTGAAACTTCGCGAAAGCAAATTTACCAGATCCACTATGATTCGACTCTGACAATGATCCAAACGAATAGCCGGAGAGTCAGAGAAAAGGACAAAAAGAGAGCAGGCAGAAGGAGCCACAGAAAAAGAGACAGACATCGTTGTTGATTCGTCCAGCATACCGACCACCATGTCTGCGTGACTCGACCGCCCAAATCGAAGCCCTGCGGCCTCGACCCTGCATATAAGCTCCCCGACTCCAGGTCTTCCCAGCTCTGCCCCTGTCAATCAGGCGTCTCTGGGTTCGTCCCCGTGGTCGCTGGTGTCTCCGACGGTTCCTGCCAGGGGACCTTCACCAGCCACGCCTCTTCTCCGACCCGCGCCACTGCTACTTCGTTTGTCTTGTCCAGCACTGGAATCAACCAGGTCTCCGGCGCTCACACTCTGTGTCTTGGCACCGACGTCCCGGAATCATCTCAATTCTGTGGGCTGAAACCCAGCGGAGCCAGAGCCCCGGCACGCTTGAGTTGCTTGCGATCCTTCTCAGGGTCCGCGAACTGTTGCAACTGTGAATGCGAGTGACAGCTTCGCGAGAGATCCAGAGGTGTTACTAAGACGGCAGGGCGGCGCTCTGCGGAGTGGTCTCCAATGACGAGGGATGACATGATGGATCTAACAGTTTCTACCCGACCAGTTTCACAAGGCGGCAAGTTTTCCAGACCTGCTGGACGAGATAAGCAGTTTGCCGGGCATTTGCAAAGACAGATGCCGAAAGCGTTGAGGTTCAGGTAGGCCAAGGCCAAGGCCGGACGACTGGACGCGTTCAACACAACGCACAACTGTTCACAGCAAGATAACATTCTGGCCTTGCAAGTGCTTTTGAACGACCTGCGGATGACGAATGAAGAGCACATGGGTGGTTGTCAAAACTAGGGTCCCGTTTTGGGTCACTAAAAATAACGGACCAAAACTAAGGGTACGCAAGGAGGGATCATAATTTGACAACTACCCATATGGGCCTACGTGCGAGCTGACTCATCGCAAATGCTAAGCAAACTAGGATCCATCCATTCCTAGACGATCGGGTCTGGAAGCCACAGCCGGCCATCCTGCTTCCATTCAAGCGGCCAGACCAACGCCACGGCACCACCCGCCACATCGCCCAATGGCTTGAGAAAGCCTGACTTAGACCGGCAATTTGGGCTAAGCACCCGTCAAGGAGGGATCAAGGCTTTTCCAGCCAGCCCTAAGGCATGCCTGAAGCAATGATCTCGCCGCCCTCAATGTACTCCGCATAGAAACTGGACAGCGCATAGACGGTTGAGCATGTCTAACCAAGATGCCCGTGAACACATGCACGCACGGCTTAGAATTCGAGCTTTCCCTGCCTGGCCGCATTCTGCAAACACTCGGAACCCTCTCCACAGAGCTCCTGGTGTTGCGACCAGGTGCAAATTCCCAGCACACGGACCGCTGACGCCGCTGACCGCTCCTGAGGACAGGCCGGCAAGGCGAGAAGACCAGCCTCGCAGGAATCAGGTAACATGCCAGAAAACAAGGGACGCTCCGTCACCCGGGGTTCGGCCATGCCTCGTCAACTTTGGCCCATGCCGCATGCATAGCTTTGCTGACGCAAAAGGACGTCGAGCCTGGTGAGCCGAAGCCATGTTCGGGCTGCTCTCCGACAGACACTGAGGCAGCAGCAGTCACCCCCGCAGCCCAAGGTATCGCCTGGCCAGAGATTCACCAATCTCAGAGCAAGTCTCGGACCCGAAGGCGAAAAAGCCCTCCCATCAGAAAACAAAACTGGCTCAGGGTGCCAGCGACTGCAGGAGGGGGCCCGAGTGACATTGCCTGCACGGAGCGGCAAACCATCTGCTCCGACGGGGTTCATGATTAAGATTTGAACTCCGGAGCTTGGAAGTATTCAGCACAGTCTCGCTTGCTGGGATTTCGCGGACTGTTGCCCAACTCTTCGGCCTTAATCACGGCTTTATCTGGATCCAAGAAGTGATCCACGATGGGGTCGACAATGGCCTGCAGCAGCCGCAGAAGTGTTGCCATCTGGTGCAAGTTTGCTGAATGAGGCACCTTGATCGGGGACGGAAAGGTCACCTCCGACTTGCTGACGATAGCATCCTCAGCGGACGATGTTGCTCCACAGCTGTATCGCATTGTCTCCGACAAAAAGAAACACCAGCACAGGAGCGATTGTTTACTCATTCTGCTCGCATGTCCTGTTAGCGCTTGTTTGGGGTTGTGCGTATGTGTGAGAGTGACAGTGAGGGAGCCACACCCCACACGCCGAACAACGTGAGGGACGGCAAAGATGCACATGCAACCTGCTTGGACGGCGTAATGCCAATGATGTGCAAATGGCGAGTTTGCAAGTGATATCCTGGCCACCGGTGACAGCGGTCTCTTGGAGCTTGTTTGCAGTACTAGCATGTCTAACCTATGTTGGACGCCTTGGCAGGCTCAAGGGCTACCGTGAGAAACGCAGCCAGTGGACCAAGCATGAAATAAATAGCCCAGACATCAGGTTTGGAGTTCTGACCCTGATGACAACTGCGACAAAATTGACGTGTGATCCTGGACACGAACTGTGACGAGGCCTCTGGCAACGGCATCCACAGGAATTTTGGCACCATGCATGGCTTGGCGAGAGAGGTCTGAGCCAACAGATATCCACAAATATTCAGTGATATTCATAAACAGAAACAGAAGCTTGCGACAGCAATTCGTAGCACACGTCCTTCACATCTGCCACAAAATCTCCAACATTTTGCCAGCATCCAACAACGGCCACGAGTTCGCAGTGATCCCGGTTGCTTTCGACGAAGTGCAGAAGCTTTGCGACTTTGAGAGGGCGCCCTCTTTGAAGAAGGTCGTCTTGAGCCTCGGCGGAGGTTCCGGACCAACTTGATCCGCAAGAGGCGTCAGTGGAATCGGGAGATGTCGCGGATGGTCCGATGGTTGTCTTTTTTGATGTCGGGGTACTGTCTGATAACAATGTACTCCTGGATGCTGAGCTCACGAGGTCATTCTCAAGAGCTGGTTTCGTTGACGTCCACAAGCCGAAACTCTGATTCGGTCTGGAGAAATACCTCCTTCAAATTTCAAACTTTTGTTTCTGGGTCCTTGCCAACCCCTGCAGCATCAACAGCAGTCAGCACCTTGCGGTCGGCAGATAAATCGCCAACCACAACGACTGAACCGGTAACGGAAGGTTCCGTAAACCAAAGGCCAAACGCATCATTCGGAAACCAGAAACCGTGATTAGCCAACGGCTGCATCTTCCAGATGGGAGTCTGACGGCGGGCCCTGAGGCTATCATGGTTTAAGCCTTAGACCCTGGACGTTGTCATGGTTGGACGGAGATGATCTCTTCGACCATGAATGTTACCATGGTTGGGTCATGGATGCTCTCTTGTCAGAGTGCATTCGACCGTGGGCCGACCGTGGGCTCCATCATGATTCGGCCACGGATGCTCACTTGACAGAACGGATTAGATCATAGATGTTGTAACGCTTGCGCACAGGGAAGCTCTTTTCTCAGAACGCATCCGACCATGGACGTTGTCATGGTTGCGCCATGGCTGCTGTCTTCTCGGGATGCATTGTGATGCACTTCATCATGGTTGGGCCATGGACCATTTAGAAGAGACTCGACCATGGACTTTATCATGGTTGGGCCATGATGCTCTCTCTCAGACCGCGTTCGACCATTGACGTCCATCGTCGAAGGCGTTCTCAGAAAGAGCATCCATGGTTGAACCATGATGACGTCCGTGGTCAAATGCGTTCTGAGACGAGTGGTGGCATGGCCGAACTATGATGATGTCATCAGGGTTGGAGCATGGCATCTTTCTTGTCAGAACGCATTCGGCCATGGACACATCATGGCTTCACCATGGTGTGCCATCCATACTTTCGTCTCAGAACACATTCGACCATGGACGTCATCATGGTTGGGCCACGGATGCTGCTCACAAGGCATGATACCATGGACGTCATCATGGTTGGGCCATGGATGCGCTCTCCTGAGCATGCAGTCGAGCATGGACGTTATCATTGTTGGCCCATGGATGCTCTCCCTCCCTCTCTCTCTCTCTCTCTCTCTCTCTCTCTCTCTCTCTCTCTCTCTCTCTCTCTCTCTCTCTCTCTCTCTCTCTCATTCGGGCATAGGGGTCGATCAAGACCCCCGGGCATCTTGCCCACCCGATGTCTCTTTCTCTCTCTCTCTCTCTCTCTCTCTCTCTCTCTCTCTCTCTCTCTCTCTCTCTCTCTCTCTCTCTCTCTCTCTCTCTCTCTCTCTGTCTCTGAGAGAACAGTCGAACATGGATATTCTCATGGTTAGCTTATGGATGGTCTCTCTGAACATGCATTTGAGCATGGCTGGCCCGTGGATGCTTTCGTCTCAAACGGTTATCATGGTTGGGCCATGGATGCTCCGTGCTCAGAACGGATTTGACCGTGGACGTTGTCATGGTTGGGCCATGGCTGCTATCTTTTCAGGATGCATTACAAAGGAACATCATCATGGTTGGGCCATGGATGCTCTGTGCTCAGGATGAATTGGACCATGGACATTATCATGGTTGGGCCATAGACGCGCTCGTGTCAGAACGCATTATGGTTTCTGACGCGAAGTCCCTGATACTCGCTGGTTTCCGAAGCGCACTTCTTGCTGCGGCTGCACCGTAGTTTCCGATGCGCACTTTCGGATGCGCGGCGGTTTCCAATGCGCAATTTCCGATGTGCCTCGGATTTCTGATGCTTAGTTTCTGATGTGCAGTCTCTGATTCAAGGTTTAGTTTTTGAATTTGCGATGGATCGCACCTTACGAGTTGTTGCTGTTTCACTTCATCTCCTTCGACGACGCTGTCCGGCGATTTCGCCCCGGTTTCGTTGAGGATTACGAGCAGGAGTGCTTAGTGCAAACGTCCACGCATTCTGGTGTCCAAGCATGTTGCCCTGATTTTCTCGTTCTATGCTGGCTGAGATACATCAATGATGGCTTGGCGGTCTGGTTTCTTCGATCAGTTACGAAACTTCCTGGACAGCCGGCATCCCGACCTTCAGTGGGACATCAGTGCGACCGGTCATTGCATTCCCTATGCATGTCACGGTTTTTCGGGAACGCGAATTGCGATCACCAATGCCTGGCAACATCGCGCGAATCCAGGCATGAACACGATCTACAGGAGTCCTTGCCATCTGCATCTTGCAAACTAATGCAAACTGTCTTGGTTCACACTGCACATGCGAGGTAGCAGAAGATTTCAAGTCTTCACGGCTGCAAACTGAGCCTGTCACCAGCAGTCATACCGTTGAGCAAGTACATTCGTTTATGACTGTTCGTGGGCGGTAGCGCCCTTCCACCGCATGCTGCGGCATCCCACTCTGAAATCCTGCCCTGAGTTCTTTCCTGCTGTATCTATATACATGTGTGTATATATATATATATATATATATATATATATGTATCTCTTTCTTCTGTCTTGCACATTTTCCTGTTTGAATGCCTTCCGTCTTTGCGTTTCTCTTCGGATGTTTTATCTGCCTGCCTTTCGTCCAGTCAATTGTTCCGTCCTTTTTGCATACACTCCTATTATATTGGTTTCATCCGTTCCTTCTTTGCCTATTGGCATGCAGTCTTACCTTGCTTGTTGGATCACTGCCTCTCCCCCTTACACTTTTGCCTTGAGTTCGCTTCCTGCAGTCCTTCCTTATTTCGCGTTTCTCTCCCTCCTGCTTCGTTGCATATTATGCAATTCCCGATAAATCAAAACAAAACACAACCCAAAGACCAATGCCAACACGGGGAAAAACGTGTCCGCTCAAAGATCGACGGCTGAACGAAAATACATTCACAACCCTGGCAAATCCTGCTCTCGTGTAAAGTCGTCCTAGCTAAATCGGAATGGATCCGATAAGCAGTGTCGTGGTTGCCGCGGCCAAAATCACTAACAGGGAAACAGCCAAATTGTCAGTGCTGACAAATGATGACTAGATTCTGCCATGGTCATGGATAGCCAGTAGATGGGACCGCCGTCACCCTGGATGGCGCCCACCACGACCTGTCCGGTTTTGTCTTGCAGCACGAGACTCGGTGAAGGAGTGAGACAGGACGATTAGCTATGAGTCCACAGTCAATAGTCTAGCATTTTGCATGGATAACATTATGCAATAATTAAGCAGAACCGACACACAAGCGGAACAAAAGCACACTTTCTGAATGTGCTTCCAAGAACAACAATTACCTCCTCAAACTTGGTCCCGCTGCCCTGAGCCACTACATTGGCGGCCGATCAAGATTGGCTGACATACTCCTCATCCGAACCATTGGAAGCTTGGCTCACACAAAACCCCCAGACAAGATTGGACCGATTTCGCGAAACTCTCACACTCATGTCCTGGTCCCCTAGCAGCCTCCACGGGAAGCAGGACGATGACGCTAAGCATGTTGAACCTGGCACGATCTCCGCTCGCACGTAGATCGCAGGATCGAAAGATTGGAATACATGTCATGTGCCCAAGGAAAGCCCGGGATGCATGTCATGCACAGTGGCACCGGAGAACCTGAGCTCAGGCAAAATCCAAGACTGTCGTATGATCAGTGAGGGGTCATAAAAGGTCGACTGCGAGGTTGGTTCCCAAGCGATGCGAAGCAAGCCTGGGTTTGTAGCCTTTTTTGGGGACTATGACCTTCCCGCATCAGAGATCACTCGAAGAAGGAAGCCAAGACCGTCCACTGCTCAGCAAGCAACGCTCGTTCCAGCTCCTTGCGCTCGCCAACATGTGCCATGGAGACCTGGTACCGCACGAGTTTTGCCGGTAACAAAGCGGCTGATTAGAGAAATGCACCTCCCCGTCTTGAGTCTCAACATGACCAGATATACCGACGACCCACAGATCTTCCTCCCAACACCCCGTGGCAACGTCGTAGTACTTCCACAGGTACCTAAAGCCTTGACATTTCGCAACCTCATCAAGTTGGCTGCACATGCAATGGCTTCGGCTGTTGGTTGTTCAGGCTTTCAGATTGACGAATCGAGTTGACACACAGGATGTGCTGATTCTAAGAGCCCGAAATAACCTGAGCAGCGTAGAATCAACGACTGAGCTTGCAGCAATTGTGTTCGTCACGGATGTGCCAATATTCGCCCCCATAACAATCGGGATTGCCTGCAATTTGAAGATCGTGACACAGCACCACAAAGCCCCCAGAGTAGCCGAGGCAAAGGCGTTGTGGACAGCGAGCTGCCCCGCAGCGACCAAGCCAACTACAATCGATGTGCCTGTGCATTTTGCAGTTGGCCCTACAGCTAATCAGCTCATCTAGACACTAGCATTCGGCCACGGGGCTGGTTGACGAGGACTGCACCAATACTGTCGCCAGAATACCCACCATAAGACCTGACAGGGGGGAAAGACCCTTCGACTTCGTTGCCGCTGCAACACGACCCGACAACCCTGGCAACGACACTACATGTGTTTCCGATGGCAGCGGTGCGCTTCGGACCCCCAATCTGTACGAGGTTGCGCCCCTTTGCTTGGAGACGCCCTCCCCTCAACTGGGTGGGTCCACATGCAAACGGAGTTGAAGCAACGTCTTGTTCTCGCTTGGCTCTTATGTTTCTCCACATTCGAATTTCTATTTGAGGCTTCGGTTTGACCTCTCTGCGACCGCATGGACCACAGCTATCAGATACACACAAAGAGACAAAGATACATAGATGTCAGGTAGATGGGTAGGTACGTACATTTGCAGGATCTAATAGGATAGGAGAGGGTATGATAGGATGTACGATACGATGCGATGCGATAAGATACGACCGACACGCTACGATACGATTGATGCGATATGCGAGATACGATAGGTACGATTGATACGATACGATACGCAAAACAACGATAGATGTGACAGATACGATAGAATGTAGAAACGATTCATGTCGAGAGATACGATGGAAAGATACATAAGTAGCCAGCTACATCAGCAAATGAAGATTAATGAATAAACCGACAGGCGGCTGGATAGATAGACAGACAGATAGATAGGTAGATGGACAGATAGACAGATCAGATAGATAGGTAGATAGAACGATAGATAGCTAGATAGATTCACTGGCAAACAGAAGAACAGGTGGATGCGTGCATATGCGCAGGTGCACCAAATAGAGCAAGAAAGACAACAAGCCGCAAACTCTGTGGTATCGATTAATTGCTCAATGGCTCAATTGCTCACCGATACCGACAGGCAGATAGATAGATAGACAGATAGAAAGGTAGATGGATAGATAGGCTAGATACAGGCTGATAGGTAGACCGATGGATAGCTAGGTAGATTCTCTGACAAACAGAAGGATAGGTGGACACGTAAATATACGCAAGTGCAGCAAACAGAGACACATAGAGAGTTCAACCTCGTACAAACACATCACTATATACAAACTTTCGCACATCTCAGATCCAACTTCGGCTCTCGAAAGCGAGCCTGAGATAGGGTTTTCAGTGATCGCGAATAATTTCCCAGCGCCTTTGCCTCCCAATGCCTGCGTTCAGCAGTTTGCTGCCGCGTCTGTACTCATGCACAAAATTCGCTGTCAAGCATGCACAGCGAAGCCGGCCTTGAAGGACACGCCCATCAAGTCCAATCCAAACAAAAAGACATACAAGGCAGCCAACACACCGAAGATGCGCCAAACCTGTGAGACAAAGGACAGCACGGTGCACCATGCCCAACATCCAGCAACGGTTTCAAATCTTCAAGCACATGCTTGCATCGGGACCCCAGCCAAGCTTGCACAAACTGCTAAATGCCAAGCACCGTGCTGTCACCGCACAACTGCGGTGAGGCTGATCGTGCTGCGGCCTGTGAACGAACTTCCAAAAAGAGTCATGTGGAGGACTTCAATCTCAAGCAAATCCGTGCACCAGCATTCCGGCGATTGAGACAGGCGGCTTGTGGATCTCGCTCTCCGGTTCGTCGTTGGCAGCCATGGCAACAAAGCACTCCAAAATACTGTGGTGCTATCTTGGACAAGCAGCAGGCACATATAGAAGAGCCTGCACTGTCAACTGTCAAATCGTGTTCCAACCGGATTCATGTTGACCTGGAACTTGTCTCACACAATACGAACATGAAAATCCAAGGGCTGCTGACGGGACGGAGGCATGCGAATGATTCAAACAGCAGCTCTTATTTGATTAATGACCCCCACGACCTACGACTGCTGAGAGCGAATTTAGTATGGAAAACCAAAATGAAATTATGTCCACCGCCTCAAAGTTCCATATGCTGAGAAGTTCACGGAAGCAACATCCAGGTCCAGGCATTGCCGGGGCGGGTCTGAAATTCAAGACAACGTGATAACCACCGTGAGCAGTCATCACTCTTGTCAATCACTGTGATCTGGTTTGATGGACATTGATGAGCGGCAAAATTCCATCACAACTTGGTTGCAGCTTGGCTCCCGATGCTTATGCAGACATCGTTTTGAGTGTTGCTCTGGTCCATACAGGGCTGCTGCATTCACTTCGTGGTTGAATGAAGCGCCAGGCAGCGGCAAACTACTTCCTCAACGAAAGCAATGTTCGAACCATCGGGCTGCTCTTTTTTTCGACCCCGGAATATCTTTTTCAGACCGCGCGCTTGATCAATCTTGATTTCGACCGCGGTATGTCTTTTTTCCGACCTCCATCTTTTTTTAGCCCCGCGACAAGGTCCAAAAAAAGACTACGATCTTTTTTTCGACCTCCATTCTGCGATTTGAGCCGTCTTTTTCTCGGCCTCGAAACATCTTGTAACTGACCCCGTGTTTTTTTTCGGACCCCGGTGGGTCTTTTTCTGGCCTCTATTGTCTTTTTTCTGACCTCTGCAAAGATAGAGGAAAACACCCACACATGATATCAAACAACACAACAAAGAGCGCTACAATATGAATGTTTCGCAAACTGGACAAAAAACTAATTTAACCATGCTATCTGCTATCTGCAAACCAACATCTTCTGAAGAAGCACGAAATCGATTTAGGGGCGGAAAGCGACGAGAAAAATCAAACTGTGTCATCAAAAATAAAATCAAACAAAAACGTTTTCCAAGCAGGAGGGAAGGAGAAGCCACACGATACCGCTTTAGGATGCCAAAGCAAAGTGAAATTTTCGAAATTGAAAACAAAATTTTTTTTTCCGGCTCCAGTCTTGTTTTCCAGCCCGCACTTGTGGTCGAAAAAAAATTAAAGTCTTTTCTGGAGGGTGTTAAGAAAAAAGATTGCGCGTGCCGACAAAAACACTTTGTTGTCACACACACAGTTGGTGCAAGAAAGAAGCCAGAATTCGACCAGCCATGCGCAGATCCCAACTGCTGTGGAGGACTTATATGCTCGTGACAGCGGCTGCGCTCGGTTCACAACAAACAAGCAAACATAAGAAGAGCGCACAAGGTTTTTGTCCAACCCGAACTTCGATTTCAAGTACCCGAACACAGTGTTCAGGCCCTGAACTTCGAGTTCGAACACCACAGTCGTCTTCGAACTTCCAGCTCAAACACTAAGTTCACCATATTCCTGCGCTCATGCCACCTTCGTCTCGGCTCTCTGGCCTTCCTCGCTGTTGGACGGAGCGGAGCGGGAATTGCAACTGGGATCTTTTTATCAGCTCGGTTCATCGCTTGCTGCTCACCACGTTCCCGAGTAAGCACATCCTTCTTGCGGACCATGACGCTGCGCCCACCTCCTTGTTTTGTTCGCGGTCTTCAGGAGCTTGTGTCGGCAGCGGCCGGCCCACAGTCTGCGCCCGGCCAAGGATGCGAGGCGCCCCAGCCCTTGACTGGTACGGTCGCTCTGCGTTAGTTTCCGAGGGACCTCTAGGGAACCTCTGGGGCCTCTGGGCCTCTCACACACAGCACTCAGACAGAGCGGGCACGCTCCACACTTTTCACTCTGCTGTTCTTCAGCAGTCCGAGTCTTGAGCCAAGCCCGGCACGGCTTGAGGCTTCAGTACACAGCTCTCTGGACTTGAAACACTTCACAGCTCGTGAGCACTAACAGCGAACTTGGGCTTCAGCTCTCTAAACACTAGAACTGGCTGCTGATGCCTCTTAGGCATCCCGCTGTGGCTCTGGCGAAAGCAAACAGGCTTGAGACACTTCACAAACACTCCAAGCATCCGCAAAGCTCACTCTGAGGTCCGGGCGGGACGACCGACAGGCGAACCGACCGACCGACCAACCGACCGACAAAACAAGGTTTCGAAAACATGCGAAATGGTTTCGTTTCAAGCTCTCACCATGCCAAAACAAATCGTACTCAAATGACATGCAAATCAAGACTGTGCAAAACTTTCCAAAACAAGTTCAAGCGCTTCCAACATCCAACTGGGAACCTTGGGAGGTCACACAAATCATTCCAGTGGCGCTTGTCCACGGCCAGAGGCCTGTCCGAAAAGCTGCACCGAATTAAGTGGTATGCACAACCTAGTCCTGCACAGACCCTGGGCGAAGTCAAAAAGACCTCAGCCCCAAGAAAGCACTCTGTCAGAGCCCTACTGTACTGGCAAGGAGAGTGACAAGACTCCTCAAGCCCTTTTTGGGAAAGACAAACCCTGACAGGTGCTCAAGCCGAACAGTGAGAGGTGAAAGCTGTACAAACTAACTGACACTACCCTCAGTCTGGCACTCAGCTTGCAGTGACCTCAGCCCTGAGGCGAGGTCACTCAGTGAAGCTAGGCGAGGCGGCATGCCGTAAAGTGCCTAGCCTCAAGCCCTCACAGCCCAGGGGTTCCTCAACACAGAGCAGCGCCCCTCAATTCGGTACCTTTAGCGCGGGGCCCACGCACTCCCCTCAACAAGGCGCAGGGAGCGACGCTTTCCCTTCAACTCAACTTCGTGCTGGCGCAGGGAACAACGCCCTGCTATGCTCTCTGCGAGTGGAGACTTTGAAGCCCGAAGACTGCTCCCAGTAAACCTGCTGACTGCTCACTGGGAAAGGGCAAAACTTTGAGGCCCGCACAGCAGGGGACCTTCCCTACCTGAAGGAAAGGGACCAGGCTGTTCCCTGGGAAGCCTCTGACTGCTTCAAGGGAAGGGGCCAAACTGGCAATCTGGACTGCAGATCACAGACTACACAAATGCAAAAACCAAAGCCTATCACCCTTACATCCTCAGCCCTAAGGCGAGGAGTGCAAGAGCGACTGCGGAAAGGCACCTCGCTGCCTCAACTTGCCCAGTGAGGAGGTACGAGACACGATCCCTGTCAGCTGCCAGGTGAGACCCATGGCGTGCCTATAAGAACACCCAGAAAACTAATTACTGGGCGAAGGCGGGCAAACCAAGGCAAGGGGAGGGAGCCTACTCAGCCTGTGCTGCCATCCACTGTCAGCAAGCAGACAGCAGGGCGGAGAAACTATCCCTAAAACCAGCCCTAAACCCAAGGCCAGCAGAAGAGCAGTCACAGAGTCAGGGAAGACTGTTCAGTGCTGCTAGCGCGCGAGCCTGCTGGGAGGCCACATACATCCCAACAGAGGGCCCAAACCTACCTCAGCCTGCAGGCGAGGCAAACAACTAAGGGCATCCTAAACCCCTAAAGGCGAAAGTCCTCTGCACACGGGCAGCTGGCCGAGAACTAACTAGGCTATGCAGGATCACACGCCGGCGCGTGTCCTCACCAAGTGCAGTCAGCAAGAGGAAGCTGCACACCTAGTGCCTAAAACAACTCACCACCAGCCAAAAGTAGGCGAAACCACGCCGGGAGCGAGCAGGAAGCCACACAGAGTCCCTGCGCCCAGCAGCGACAGCTGCCTACAACAGACGGGGACGTGCTGCAGGGCATAATAAGAGCATGCCTCAAAAGAATCGAGGCGCGGGTTTAGGATGCAGCAAAACCCCTCATGGCACCTGCAAAGGCATGAAAGGGAACAAGGGCTAGCACAACCCTACAAAGAACCCCAGGCAATTGCAGTTGCTGATGCTCAGCAAAAGCCCACGAGTGGTCCAGACTGAACCTTCTGCATGACACCACACATGGGAAGGCCAGCCTGTCATGAGTGCGCGTGCCACGTCCAGGCCGGGAAAGCAACCCACTGACCAGCGAGGCATAAAACAAAGCCGCTTCGAGCACACAGTCCTCAGCCCTAAGGCGAGGACTAGGGCCTGCTAACTGGAAAAGAAGCGGCAAAACGGGCATCGTCCAAAGGGCAAAGAGGAACAGGTTTCCTACAAAGGTGCTTGAAAGACCGGCAGCCACAGTGAAGACCAACGCCCCTAGAGGTAAGTACTGCTCAGCCTGTTCGCCTACAGGAGAACTCCCTTCCGCGAGGAGGGCCGGCCAAAACTTGTCGCAAGAAATTGCACTGCAAAATTCAAGCAAAACCGACCAAACCATGCAAAATCAAGAAAATCACATGGAAGTGTCACACCATGGCAACTACTGCTCTTCGGCTTGAGCCGGAACTGCACCTACCCCGCCCCTGCTGCACAGGCAGCCTACGAGGAAACAAGCGGTTAGGTTCGAGCCTGTTAAGGACCCACCCGTAGTTACGGCCTCAAGGCTGGCGGCCACGACGGCACTGGAGGCTTGAGCACTCATGGCCTTGAGCCAGTCAGGTCACACAAATCAACTCCCCCTCTTGACCGTAAGGTTCCCAGACCCGGTCCTGTCCTCCTTTCGAAGACAACTAAGACAACGCCACAGACGAAGTCCTGTGCGTTCGTTCCTCAGTCTGCGCGTCCAGGAGCAGAGGCGGTCCTAAAAGACCCTGTGGCAAAGCTCTTCAAGCGTACCTGCCGGCTTGTGAATTCATCCGGGTCGTAGCGTGGCCAATGCAGTTTCTGCGAAGGCTCTCGGATAGTGTTGCGTAGCTTTAAGGTCAAACGTTTGTGAATGATCATGGCTACCATCACATGCAAAGGTTCGGGACATGGTTTGAATGAAATCCGCATCGATTGAAACAAGCTTCCAGGTTTTCTTCACCAAAAGATTATCTTGACCTACCATGCCTGCCATGCACCCATGCACAGACTGCCAGCCCCAATAGCTGCATCTCTGTGGCCACTCCATCACCCAGAAACTAACTTGTGGGTGGGTGTTCAGTTTCAACCACGATTTCCAAAGCTTTCTGTGCACTGTGAACAAGGCCTGCAAGTGCTCTTGGTGTTGGGGGTTGTGGTGCAAGTGCTTTCTTTGCCAAGGGCTACCCCCGGTACAAGGCGTGCTGCTCCAAAGAACAACCTTCATTCCCCAGCTCCTCGCAACACCCATGGCTGACATGAGCCGCTCCACGGTCTCAGGTGAAGTCCCGTCGACTTCCACAGTCACCGGTAGAACAAAGACAGAGTAGTCACACCCCGTGGTCACGAAGCTAGATTGCGGATCGGTACAGAATTCAATAAACAGGGTTCCGTACGATGTTGGGAGTTCACAGAGGCCCAAGAACCTTTCCCACTCAAGTTCAGTGTTGTCAAAGATTGAATTCAACAGCCCTGCAAGGAACACACACGAGCGAACCACCGGCACAGCGCAAAGGTCAACCTGGTGGACGTCTTCCAAGCCTAAGGCCTAAGGGCCTGTTGAGGTTCTTGGTGAGGAGGTCGCTAACGTTCTCTTCTCCGGGCACCCCGTTGATCAACAACTCGTTCTGATGTACCCTATCCTGAATAAAACTTCTTTCTTTCGACCGCTGCGGAGGAAGTCCGCATTGCGTACTGTTGACAGCAATGTATGCTATCGGCTACTTGAAGCAGCACCTTGGCCGCGTAGCGACTGGCACGAATGCCCAAGCTCGCTGGCTCAGTTGCCACAGACAGCGAAAACAAGGTAAGAGTTAGACCATAAAGAAGCAATGTCACTAGGAGTAGCACGTTGAGATTTCCTGTTGTCGTCTGTGGCATGCCAGTGGCCTTCTAAGTCTACCAAAAACGCCCGGTAGTGTCCAGAAGTGGGAGTATCATCGTAATGAGCTATAACGGCAACAACATGAAAGGTTACCCTACGAAGCCCTTGCGGACACTCACCAGCCGGAAGCTGCAAAGTAAGATCAGGCATCGCAACACGAGAAAGTTGTTTAGCAACACTACCGTCACTTCGCATCACGAACCTACGAACATGAAACATGATGCACTGAGGAATCCTACTGAGGCCTCTCACCAGATGGTCGTGCTCCCACACAGCAACAGCATCCTGCAGGACGCATTCAGGCAGGATGGGATCCACAATGATTGGGGCGTGAGTGCCACTCCAATCCTTGCGAGAGTGCGGCGCTTCCGGATCCCACGCACTCCAGTGGCCAGCATAGGCCAACGGCTGAGCCTTGCGCATGACAAAGGCAGCAAACTCAACAACATCGTGTTGGCGCGAAGGTTGAGGCCAAGCTTGCACAAACATACGCCACATGAACAAAGTCATGAGCGAGAAAGTTTGGGTGGCGCCTTGTAGCAAAGGTTTCACCGAAGTCAAGAGCCCTCCGAAGAGGTCTGCCTGAGAGCAGTTGCGAACACGAGTTGAAACCCACAGCATGGCAAGCACAAGAGAATTCATGTAGCAGCAGTTGCCATTGTTGTGCAATTGCAGCCGGAGCACAAGCTCTTGAGGCAGGCTTCGATTTGCTTCGCAAGCTGAGATCTCTGAAGACGCTCGGGGCGCAAGCGGATGTTCAGAACTCGCCACACCGCGCATTCGGAGAGCTCCGTGAGAAGTGAGAATGCTGTGCAACGTGTTGGCTGCCTCGCTGCGAAGCGACACCTGAAGAAGGAACACCGACTGAGGAGACTTCGGCTCCTCGCTCAGCGGCCTTGTCGCATGAAAGCGGTGCAAAATGCCCTCTCTCTGACAAAGCTGGAGTGCATCCGCTAACTTCGCTTCCACCTCGGTTGCCAGCAAAGGCTGCTTCTTGGGGTGAATGATGACTTTGGCTGTGATCGGATCCCAGCTCTGAAACTGCCACTTCAAAGTGGCACCGTCCTGAAGGATCCACTGATTCTTTAGTGCAGCGTCCAGGGCCTCCTTGTTGTTGGGCAGCATCTTGAGCCGATTTCCCAACTCCGTCAGAAGAGCCTCCATCAGCACAACCCGGAGTGGTGCGAGAATCTGCGACGGATCCTGTTCCTTCTGCTCCTTCCATGCTTGCGAAATCCTGTACAAGGCCTGGAGAATGCAGCCTGGCCCCGGAACCGGATCCACGAACAGACAAAAGGCCTTGTCCAACCGAAGCATCTGAAGTTCGTCCTCCTGTCGGAGGAGCATGCGGAGGATCAGCGGCAGAATCGTCGAGAAGTTCTGAGTCGGCTGCTGCTGCAGCTGAAAGCCTCGCTGAGCCTGACCCCGTGTCTGGTTCCACGGCGCCCCTTGGCGTTTTTGTCCCCTTTGCTTCCGGAGCCCAGGCCCTTTCCTCCCCCGAGCTTGCGATGTTTGTTGGGTCCTTCCTCCTCGCTCGCCTTGCTGAACTCCTGAGCCTCTTGAGCCCCTTGAAGGAGCGTCGGGTGTGCACTCGGGATCAGGTGCCGCCAGAAGCCCAGCTGCTGCGTGACCGCGTCCTCCAGAACCTCCGCCATGAGCCTGAAATAAATGTATCAGGAACTTCGCACCGAACATAACAGAGTAAGCTTCAGCATGACGTATCGGTTGGTCAATGGTCTGAGTGCAGTACTGACAGGGTTGCCCTACGCGCCCAAAGAAGCGAGACCTCTCTCCCTTGCACTCGGCCCGCAAACGGCTGACAGTCTCCTTTTGGTCCTTGTGCTTAGCAGTGATGTGCTTTTTGCAGTTGCCATGGCCAGCAACAGACCAAAGGTAGCAAATCGGACAATGATTGCACAATTTTTCGCGAGCAAAAGGAACCTGAGCTACGGCCTCCCAATCCGCTCCCGAGACAATGGCATCAACCACGGCGGCCTGAATAAAACAAAGCCTGATGTCTACATGTCGCATTCTCCGAAGGAACCCCTCCATCCCGGCAATCTGGCGAGCAGACGCACTGTCCGTGCAGATGGCGAGGGGCTTGGTGATCTCGCCCCAGATGTGAGAAGCCAGCTGACCTAAGCCGGCGATTTCCTTAGCAGCCTCAGCAATGGCAAAGAGTTCGGCTTCGGCAGAGGATAAGGCAACTACGGTTTGTAGCCTACTGTAGCCCTTTACGCAAAACCACAAGGACCCGGCCGCCGGCCACTACGTAGATAACCCCACCGCTACTACTCTTCCTCCCGGTGCTACTTTCACTGCCCCAGTTGCTGTCACAGAACGCCACCAAAGTGGCACCTTCTTCTTCCAAAGTTTCCCCGTTCCCGGCGGGAAAAACCTGATCGAGCAACGGACAACCGACCAACCACCGAAGAAATTTCCTTAGCGCACCCTCGTGCACCATCCTTGGCGCAGCTTGCCCTCTAGAAAGCATAGAATGGAAATACGTGATGTCAGTGCGCGTCTGGGTCAACCAACCAATCTTCCCAAGACAAGACCTAAACCTACCCGCGGCTTCTGGAGACAGAGAGGGCGATGGGGACTCTGGGTCCTCAGCATCGTAAAGAGCCCTAATGTCAGGAGTTGTGGCCACAGGCTTGACCTTGGCCAGGTCTTTCTCAGTCCACCCGAAGGCAGAGAAGACTGAACGCACATACTCAGGTTTCACCCCAAGGGTGATGTTGTTCCCATCTAGCTTAATGAGCCGTCCTAGAAACTCAAGCTGGCCATCCTCATGGAGCCTCCCAGTGACTTTCACCTTTAGAACCGCACTCAGAGACTTGTGGATAAACTCAACCCCCTCTTGGCTGTCGGAGACGATCAACAAATCATCCACATAAGCTAAGGCGATGATATACGTCCACTTCTGTCCGAGCTGAACCCAGCCACTAAAGTTACTAAAGAGTGTGGGCTCGAGCGGTGAGGCTTTGAGACCCAGGCCAACCATAATTTTGCTAAGGCAGGTGCCTTTGCCAACTTAGGCTCGCGCTGCGCAAGCCATACAAGGCCTTCTCTAGGATCAAGTTTGCGGTGCCTCCGCCCTCTAGGCAGAAAGAGCTCGGGAGCTCTACCACAGTGGGTTGAACAACGTTCGCAAACAGGAACGCAGTAGAAATGTCCAAGCCCCAAACCCGCATACGACCCTTCGCGGCCCTCGAGAGTATAAGCTTGAGAGCCTCTACACTCGCGGTGTTCGAGGAGAGGCCGAGATCAAGTGCAGAGGGCCTGCCGTGCGCAAAATCTTTCGCCACGAGGCGTGCCCTGACAAGCCCTGGGGCTTTTTGTGTCAGCACCCACCGTGACTTTATCACGCGGCACCCGGGGTTTTCTTCCTGGTAGCGATCAACCTCAGACCTGGAACGAAGGAGGCCGACTTGCAAAGAGTCGACGGCTTTGACCTCAGTCTTCATTCCTTCCCAGCTCTCCTTGTTATCTAGCTGGATCCCATCGACGTCGTCGTAGGAGCTCCGAGGCCTGGAGACCCAAACCCAGCGATCCCCAATGGGCATATATGTGCCCTCTCTCTCTTGATCTTGATCCTTGCAAGCAGACGGGTCCGACCGACCAACCGACACGCTGTCCGACCGACCAACCGACATGCTCACGCCCGACCGACCAACCGACACGCTGTCGCCGCTCGACCGACCAACTGGCACGCTCAAGCCCGACCGACCAAAGTCATGCTCCACATGCTCATGCCCAGCATGCCCAAGCGACGCAACGCAAGAGTAAGGCAACTTATCGCAAGAGGAGCGGCCGTCGACAAGCAACGAGCAAAACGCTTGCAAATCATACACATCACACACGGTCAAAGGTGTGGGGGCATGCCCACATTTCTTCCAATAGCCGAATTGCGGGGCGATCGTCCTTCGGTGCCTCGGCGACACCCATCAGATCATCTTCTCCCTCGTACTCGGAGGGCAACGAGGGCTCGTAATCACTTAGATGGTCGTTGGCCTCCGCATCGATCTGTGGCACTTCTACTTCTTGCTCTGATGGCGCCGAGGGCGCCGGAAACTCACGAACTTCCGAATCACCGAAGCGAACCCGCTTGGCCGGTGGGCCTTGAGCGGGCGGAGGGTCCCGATCAAGCTCTTCAAGAGCATTGTCCACAGCATCTCGGAGCCACCGCTGGTAGCGCCGAACACACTTGATCGAATGGCGGGAGGACGTGGCCTCCCCGGAGCAGCCGGGGCGCTTCGGTCACCAGCTACACCCTTGGGGCTCGAGCTCGTGCCGTGGTGCTGCTCTGCAGTGGCATGTTCAGCCAAGCGCTCTCCAAGGTTACCAGCAACATGCTCACCTACACGCTCGACCGACTGACATGCAATGCCATGCTCGACTGACCGACCTGCAGCACTACGCTCAGCACATCCTACCGCACACGGCTGTCCTAACGACCAACCGACCGACCGACCAAGCATGCCATGCACTCGCTCAACAAACTCGCCAGGAACTTGCTGCAACGAACCCTGTGCACTTACAGGCAGGCCTCGTCCGGAAAGGGTCGTCGGCAACGAAGGTGAAGAAAATGAACCCACATGCTCCTGGCACAAACGGCGATCCTGACAAAGCTTTCCTACGGCACTCGACTGCAAAAGCTTTACCACCCTAGCAGGCAAAACGACCTACCAAAGGCTCTCCGAGGCTACTGCAAGACGACTGACCTGCCAACTGCACTTCAGAGTGACCGCAAGACGACTGACCTACCAACTGCACTCCAGAGCTATCGCAAGACGACTGAACTAGCAGAGGCGCTCCCAACATAAGTTCCCCAAACCCCAGGTTCGAACATGAGTTCCGAACATGTCCCCACAAGCATGCGGCAAAACACTCTGTTCAACATGCGTTGTTTCATGCTGTTCTCGTGAAACTTCATGCCCATGCTGTGAAAAGCCATGCCCTTTATGCGAAAACTCATGCTCATACTGTTTCTCAGGCAACGAAAACTCAACAAACCGACCACTCGACAGACAGGGAGGCGACGAGACAATGATCGGGAAACAAAGTGCTGCTCTGCGGTCATAAAGAGTGGGCCTCCAACCCTTCCAAAGCAGATTCAAAATGATCAGATGTGCTGACGAGACTACGGCTTCAAGGCGGCAGGTGCACGCAAAAGGTGCTCAGAACTTCTCCTCGCTTCTCAACGGGTCGAGTAGTGAGAAAATCACCTCGATCGGGTTTAAGACGCGCCCGCCCAGTACGGCCAAGAACTCCAAGTTGAACATTGGAACTTCCAGTTCAACTGCGGTGCTCGAACCCAAAGTTCGAACACTGGTGTTCCAACCTAGGGCTCGAACACTAGTACTCCAGTTCGAACACTGGTGATCGAACACAGTATTTGAATTTGAGGTTCGAACAGATGCACGCATGCCTTTCCCGCGACCCTCCAGCTAACTTGTGCAGTTGCAGCCGTGGAGATTGGGGCTGTTGGCATGCCAGATTGGCTCTTCGCGGAACTTCTGAGCCTCCCATGTCGGTTGCGCATCATCCATGCCGACGAGGACTTTTTATGCCCTTGGGTGCCGACCGAGTTTGCGCGGACCGCCATACGGGCAGCCCCAGGTATACGTGCAGGCGGTATGCATTGGTTGATCAATGCACCGACTTTTCGGGCCTCAGTGCCACAACTACTCCCACCTGCTCCTACGCAAGCGGCTGGATACCGTGGACTCCCTGCCACAACGCCTCCTCGCCAATCCAACAGCAACGATTATATGCGAGAGAGTAAAGCGAGTGTGGCATACTCTTCCAAGGCCTCGGTGTCAGTGAAAGCCAGAGAGTATGGCAGCAAACCGCTGGGTCAGTGCAGAGCCACACAGCGTCGCGCGCCAGTTTGCCCAGATTGACCGAGACGGCCAGCGTACAACTGTGGAGGGCAGCTGGCATTGCGCAAAAGCTCGAATGAAAAGAGCAGACTTCAGAGCTGCGCCCCTTGAGGGGCGCGCTTGGCGGTGCCTGTACGCATTCAGGGCGCCGGGCAAGAAGAGACGGGCGGCCAGCAATCTGGCTATGCGAGCACACAACCACTGGCCACTCCGAGTGAACAGCCATATTAATCAAATCCCTCCGAGAGCTTTGCAAGATAGCCGACAAGCGAAGAGTCGGGTTGGCCAGTGCATTGCGGGCTGCCGTGTCAAGGTGATAATTTTTTTTTGGCGTGAATGGGCCTCGTCGACTACGGCTGTAGCACTCGGTCCCTACAAACAAACAGACTACAAACAAGCAACAAAAACTGCAAAGCGGTGAGACCAAAGGCGAAGCTCTACAAGGGCTGCGGCGCACAGGCTTTGCCGGTGTTAGCCGTTCAACCCATCTACGGAGCCTCAGCGACCGATCAGAAGCAACAAAGAGCCGTCGCTCTGAGCTGCCCAAAGCAACAGGTGGAGCCAAGACCAAGCTCCGGCCGCCGTTCTAGTCTCGTCAGACAACGGGCAGCCCCTGCGCTTTGTTTCGTCACGGTCGCGAGCACGCCAAAGTCCAAAAGTCCAATTCGCTGGAAAGAAGGGCTTCAGGTCTGTCGGTGCCCGAGTCGTTGCGACTCAAAGCCGGCCAGAAATGGCCGTAACCCGGGATCGAGACAGACGATCCACGGTGTGCAAATTCTGTGGTGGAGTGGCTGCCGGCGGTCATTTTCGCCAAACGACGCGCGCAGTCAGACCAGGCAAGGGTGTAGACCGTGGGAAACGCGTCAGTCCGGCAGCGCAACGCACAGAACATTCCAAGTTAGCGGGTCTCCCAAGACAGAGCCTGAACCATGGCAAGAGTCTTGTCTCGTGCGGGAGACGGCATCCGCACGCCCGGGATTAACTGGGGGAATTTTGCCCATACCCGTCAAAGCGTCCCTCAAGACCACGCAGTTCGCGCCCCGCAGGAAGGGACCGTGCGAATGTGACAAAGACCGGGTCGATGTCACAAAATGAGGTAATCTGAAACATGTCGAAGCCCGAATATTGGCGTTGGTCGGCCTCACATGCCAAGAAGCAAGGAAGGGAGGGCCGTGCGGGGATCAGAAAACGGACATCGGCGTATGTCGACGTGCTGGCAGCCCAACACGACGCAACCAAGTCAGGGCACCGTGCAAGTGACCAGGCAAGGGTGTGGAATATGGAGAACTCCTGGTGTGCAAAAGTTAGCGATCGGCCATCAGATCGAGGCCCTCCGCGGACCAGAAGAATGAGCCGCCGAGTCGGTACGATCGAACAGTGGATGCAGGGCGGAAGGATACCACCTGCCCGTCTTGTGAGACGCAATGTTACTCAGGGCTATGTAGCTCTCTCAACTTCCAAAATATCGACACAACGACATATGTCGTCGGTTCCAGGTCGCATAGAGCGGAGGTCACCTAGTGGAGCCGGTCGCTGCATCGTACGGCCAGCCCGTGTCAAGGTCATAAGGCGCATGACTGATAAAGTACAGGATGTACGGTTGTTTCTGCAGCTATCACTTAAGGGATGCGTGGGAGTCATCTTTGTCACAGAGCCATCCAGTGACGCCGGAGGGGTTGCTGTTTTCGCCAAAGAGCCCGGCTGTAGTCAAACTGAGTGGGCCTGTTGCCTCACCGTATGCGGAGCACAGACACCTGGACACATATGCTGCTGTCGAAGCTGGCGCATCTTGTGTGCAGCGGTTAGCCGATCCTCTCTTTTCGGCGCACAGGCCCAGCACAGTGGTGACGTAGTCACCACGTGGGTCTATCTGGGCGCCGTGCTGCAAACTCCCAATTGGCACCTTCGAGCATGAAAACACGACGACTTCTTGCGTCAGGCTCTGACCCACACGAGAAAGCTCTCTACTGGGCAAACAGCCTTGCCGGACCCAACTTTTGGCCAAAACTCTCCCTCTCCATGGTTGAATGGTTGTGGAAGTAAGCGGCAAGGCCTCACTTGCGCAGCTTTGATCGGCTCTAGTTTGGAGGTCTTATGGCGCTGGATGGGTGTTCCACCCTGGTGGACGGACCAAACGCAAAACACAAACAAAAGAAGCCACACAAAATCGCTTAATGGGGGTTTTTTGGAAAGAAAATAAAATGAACTCTGGGTTTGGAAACTCCATGTTCGAACTCCGGATTTGGAAAATTTATTTCGAAACCTAGGTTTCAACTCCGCCAGAGTTCAAACCCTGGGTTCGGAAACACGTTCGAACTCTGGCTTCGGAAACTCTGTCTTCGAACTCTGGGTAGAAACTTTCTGCAAGAGTTCAAACCCTGGGTTCGGAAACTCTATGTTCAAACTCTGGGGTTTGGAAACTCTGCATTCAATCTGGATTCAAACTCTTGCCCTTTCAGAGTTCAACTCCAGGTTCAACTCTAATTCGGAGTTGAGTTCAACTTGGAGTTCAGTCAAAGTTCGAAATCCAAGGTTCGGAGGGAACTTCGATGTTCGAATCCTAGGTTCGAGGCTCCGAACTCCAAATTCAGAGTTCCAGAACCCTGGGTTCGAAACTCTAAGTTCCAAATGTTGGAAGCGCGGCAAGATGAAAGTGCAGGTCCGGTCACTTCGTGGCTGATCACGTGCGAGTTCAATGCTCCGGTGCGAGCACCTTCACGGCGCCGGCCCAAAATGATCTGTAGCATTGTCTGCTTCCAGCAGTGTTACGGCCCTACTGCATCAAATAGACAGCTACAGCTTCGGCAAGACTGAGTTCGTCTGGCCGTTACACCAGCATTCTCCTCCTGCCTGTAAGCGGCTTTGACTGCCGCTCAACTCCGGCGAGCAAGCGTGCACGAGCGCATTGTAAATGTTTCTCCGACACGTCCGTTCTTGGCGAGTTTTCGGCTGGCAGCTTGGGAACTCCCTACCTGTGAACGAAAAACCAGCAGATTGACCTGGGCAGCATGCACAGAGGGAGAGCAGGAAAGGATGAAGGAACTGAAAAAGGTCGCTAGCCTCTCAACGCGGAATTTGGCGCAGAGCCGACGCCAACCCCTCATGTCAGCAAGCCAGTGTGGGGTCCACGCTTTTCTCTGGTGGTGCGGGGAACCACCCTGTAAGACCAGTTCCAAACCCCTTAACTCTCACCCTCAAACCTGAGTACTGCGAGTCCAGCTGAGCCTGTAAGCAACCAGCAGGGCGGAGATGCTCACAGTCACTGCAGCCCTCCTGCACAGCCCCAGTAACCAGCCTGCAGCAACTGGGCGGAGAATCCCTAGTAACAGAGAAAACCTCTAGGAGCTGCTGACGCTGAAATCCAAAGAAGTCCTCCGGCATCTTCAGCGCGGACGCAAGGGGCGGAACAGATGGCCGCGGGCACTCTCGCACAGCTGCCAAGGACTCAAAAAATCCTCACTGGCATGGACGATGCGCAACCGGCATCCACGGAACTCATCCGCATCTCCATGCGTCTGATCTGGACATGCATGAGATGTATGAGCAGGGCAATTTCGAAATGTTGTACCTTCTGCACGAGTCCGATGCTTGGCCGCCGCAGTCGACCTGGACCGCAACCAGTTACAAGCGGCGTTTGCCCATGCCAGCGCACTGCGACCGTCGACATGCGTCGTTTGGTCAATTGCTGCGCCTCCGGCAAAGGGTCTGGGCTTTTTTGCCTTACTTCTAGAGCCACCTGTTTCACCGCTGTCTTTTGTTTTGGTTTGTTGGTTTGTCTCGTTTGTAGGGACCGAGTGCGACAGCCGTAGTCGACGAGAAGTTGGTGGAACCAGGTGCTAAACTACCTCCACCGTTGCAAAAACTCGCTTCCAAACCGCCGCTCAACGAGCAGCCACGGGCGATGTTCCTCCCAGATGAGACCTTCGCTGGATGGATGAAGTCCATGGTGCCAGATGCCTTCGAGATTCCAGCTTTCTGGAATTCAGTGGCCAATCAACCTGGGGCTGTAAATCACCCACTCAAAACAAGAAGCGATTTTCGCAGCAAGTTTGTGCCAGTCGGCCTTCACGGCGACGACATCCCGTGCACCGGACTGGGCAAATGTAGGGTGTTGAAGCAAACGCAATTTAGCTGGTTCAGCATGCTCGCCACAGCCCAAAGCACTGGTACATGCAGACTTAGTTTGGGCTTTCCTTTTTTTGAAAAGACATCTAGTGTAAAACTCACAAACCCTGAACAACCCGTCAAGGTCTGCACAGACTTTTGCTCGCGCAACAAACGAAGAGAACAGCTGTTCTTGCACTGCACTGCTGTCACCTAAAGCTTTGCTTTAAGCTTTGCTTTAATGAGCCTCAGAACGTGTTTCATCATCGGCCCATTCTTTCAACGAGCTTCAGTCTCAAAGCTTTCCAGCCTTGAGCCACACATAAGCGCGGCACTCCGGATTCACATGTGCTTCAGCACATGTCAAAACAAAACTTCGCTTCAAAAGCATGCCGTCACAGCTTCCTACAAGCTCCACGCTGGCAAACAAACTTGCACACACTACAGCTGTTCGAGAAGGTACCTTGAGGCCTTCGAGAACTCATGCGGGCTCTAATCAAACTAACGGCTCACAGCATTCACTCAGCTCACTCAAAAGCTCAAGCAACTCATGCCACATGTCGAAAACTGTTCTCGCAGCTGAAAACCAAGGTTCCATGCCATGAAAACCGCAGCTCCCAGTGAAAATCTTCCAGTGCTTTGAGAAAACCTCTGCAAAACCAAAACCATGCAGAATATATCCAGATAACCATTGCACCTCAGAAAATTCCAGGAATCGCAGGAAAATTGGCTTGCTCCCAAACTGCAGTCAGCAGCCTGATGATATACATATCGCAGCCCATCACACTGAGCGGCTCCACCACTCAACAGGCAGCTCAGAGGTACAACTTTTCACACCCCCTTTCGATGTGTGTATCATCTCTCATCCTTGCTGCTGTCCAAAACAAGCACTTCTCGACACCAAGCACACATTGAAACATTGCCAACCATGTAGCCACGCTGCAACCCATGCGAAGCGACGAAGACATAGGTATTGGAAAAATCTCGCGCCAGATAGCCAGCTCTTCTCTCATGCCAGACAGGACGTCACCCAAAGCGAAGCCCAACAGACTTCTAACAGTGAACATACACATAGGCATCCTTGAGAATACCAGCTCTCACCGCTCATACATGTACCCATGCTCCTTCCGCAATCCCAGCGAGGATTTTACTCCTCCGCCAACTTGCGCTGGAATCCCTTCTGCTTTGAAAAACCAATCCTCATCAAATACCCCGCAAGGTCCGAGGACTGACTGGAGGAGGTCGTCGGATCATAATTGCGACCAAATTTCTCCTTGATCCAATTGAGGTAGCTTGCAAGGTCGCTATCCTCCTTGGCAAGCTTGACCAAGGTCGCATAGGACTTCTTAAACCACATCTTATTCTTCTGGACCTTTGGCAGATCGCAGATTGTCCGACCCCACTCCTCCATAGATAGATTACTTGGAAGTGGCACCGAGGTGACCTCAGTACCTGCATAGCTCACGACAATCACATTGTCGCTATCCCCAAACTCTTCCCCTTCGAATGCATCGACGAGGTCTTCATAACACTTGGGAGTGCTCACAGCACCCTTTGCGCTTCCCTTTGAAATCGGCAGCTGGGCACCGCAAGCAGATCCTGATGCAGTAGACCCATCCTCTGGATATCCACCCACATCTCTGAGACGCTTGGTCCCATCGGTCATAGAAGTATTGGCAGTCGAAGCCAAGCCATCTGCAGAATCCATCTTATCCAGCAAACGGCGCAGCTCCCTGCGTTCATCGGTCGTGAGAACCATGGCAGCACGAGTTCGCACCTAGGTTTCACACGCAAAAACAACTAGCACCAGTACGGAGCTTTGTCTGCAGACCTCAACGTCCGCAAAGAAACCGGCGTCAAGAGGAGAATCCGAACCCAGCCAACAGCCCGGCCCAAACCCCCAAAAGCATCACTGCAACGTTTTGATCGCACCTCGAACAATCGCATCAGCGAGTTTCGGAGTGTAAAAACCTGTTTCGGTCCACCCAACTTGCCACAGACTTGCATGCTTAGCACACCTGCAGCTGGAAAAACACTTCAGGGCAGACACAAACTTTTCAGAAGTCGAAGCAAAACCCAAGACTTTGCCTATAGGCTCACCCCCTTTCGAACAAAGACCAGTCATGCACAACCTCACCGGCACATCGAACGTGTGGCCTGCCTTCTTCAGCACCTTCTGGCACAAGTCATGTTGCCAAATCTCATTGTTCCATGGCAGCTCAAAGCTCGAGTGCTTCCCAAGCTTCAAGTACTTCAACACACAAGGAAACACCTCAAACCATTCCCAATCCGACTTCGACGAGCTCCCGCCAGAGAACCGACGCAAGTAAGATCCAGAAGAGCAAGGCGTGGACACATGCACAAACACGCAGTCACACGCAAAGTTCAGAAGATATCGACGCACCTCTTTGAACACGCTGTCACTCTGCATGTTCTCAGTCACGCCAACGTAACTCATCCCGACTCTGCGACATGCACCTTGAACACTCGACTGCGGTCGACAGCACACTTCAACCATCACCAATCTCTTCTCATGATTGCACAAAGACGCAAGTGGTCCCGACAGCGACTCAAAGCCCAACGCTTCGCGATGTATCCCGAAAGCCGAGGACCCCAAACATTTAGTCAAGAGGTCTGACGGATTTTCGATTCCCTTCTTAAACGCAAGGACCAAAGAACCCGCTGCGACACGAGCTTTAAGCCACTCGACTCTTATCTCAAGATGTCTGCTTTGTCTGGGTGTGTCCAAATTGCGAAGAAGCTTCAAAGCGCTTTCTGAGTCACTGTAAAGTATCCCAGGCAATTCAACTTCCTCGCTTTCTCGAAACGACATGAAGACCCTTGCCATGAACTTTCCAAGACTCGACATTTCTTGAGCAACCGACTGCAACGCAAACAGCTCTGACTCCATAGACGACAGCGACACAAGCTGTTGGTGACGACACAAAGTCTTTATCACGCAGCCATCAAGTGTCAACACTCCTCCACTGATGCCACGGCGCTTCGTGCACCTCAAAGGCGCATGCGATGCGTCAGAGAAACACACAAGGTGCCTCTTTCCTTGGTAGTGTTGCGAGGGAGCCAACACATCACTCGCAGCAGGCAACCGCACAACCACGCACATGTCGTTCTTCAGAAATCGAAGCAAGGCTCGGAGACCATGCTCAGTATGATTCGTGGGTGTGGCTTGCTGCGTTGCCAAGATTGACACATAAGCACGCAAGTCCTGACGAGTCTGCGTCATCCAAGCTACTTTCCCCAACGCAGACCTGAACCTGGCATACGCCTCAGGAGACAATGGAACCCCATCTTGCTTCTCAACATGAACCGCAACATCTGGAGGACTTGAGGAACCTTTTCCCGAAAGACCATAAGCCTTGAAGGTCTCATCCAAATAATCTTCTGGCAAAGACACTGTGATAGAGGACTCCCCCTTTCTCCTGGAGATAACCCTACCAATAAACCGCAAAGTGCCACCGCCATCCTTGGAAGAATTGATCAACCCGGTTCTCTTGAGTTCAACTTTCTTCTCAATCACCTCAAAGATGTGATCTGCATCCTCCTTTGTTGGCGCAATGCACAGAAAATCATCCACATAGACCAACAGCAAACAGGGACCTGACTCAAGCATGCCTGAAAACAGACACGGCTCTAAGCTGCAACTTTGAAGCCCCAAAACCTTCACAGTCTCCCCTACGAAGTAGATCCATTCTTGCGAAGCCTTGCGTAGCCCATTGAGGGCTTTGTTGAGGTGAAGATACAAAGGATCCCCTGAAACCGAAGACACTGACAGAGGAAACCTCATCACCACATTTCTCTCAAAGGCGTAGCCATGAAAGCGTGAGATACATCAGCACCTGCAATCACGCAATCTCTGCAACCTGCAACCCCAAGAACCGTGAACAAAGCATCGGCACTAGGAGTAGGACTCGAGATGCCCAAAGCCCTTGCAGACTCTGAGTTCTTGCCAGCAATATCCTTGATGACAATCCTAGCTCGCACTGTAGTTGGTGTTTTCTGCGTCGTGACCCAACGACTAGGGATGACCTTCAAGGTACCTGGGAACCTCTTCTCAAGACTCTGAAGTTCTGAAGCAGTCAACAGATCCCCAGTTTCCATGTGACTCAAATTGTTGACTTCTTTGACCATGCCTTCCATGACCTGATCTCCTGAAAGCTCACCCAAGGTAGAGTCATCAACAGCGGAACTAGGCTTCCAAAGTCTCAAATGCGACCTTTTCCCAAACGGCAAAACAACACTCGTAGAGTTCGGGGCGCACTGAACCGAATCCACAAGCCCTGAAAGCAAAGGGACATAATTGGAAACCTGGAACGCCTGCTCAACAAAACTCGCAAGAGGCATGTGAACATCATTCCCTGTTTCGCAATTGTGGAAGGTAACCATAACTGAAGCAACCCTTTCTTGGTCCTGCCTGATCTCACGCTCCAGATCTTCCAACGGGACTTCAGAGGAGCGTTTCACAGCACTGCTTCCACGAAGCACTTCTTCAGCCTCTAGGCTGCCTCCGCCTTCACTTCCAGTCAACACTGGATCGGCAAACGGCATCTCAGTGTCCTCATCAAGAGCCCCAATGCCCTCAGACTCAGGAGCAGCAGCTCCTTCAAGATTTTCAGGCAGACGCCTGGATGAAGCTTCGTCATCATCGGGCTCCCCAGAAACAGAAAATCTAACACTCAGATGTTGGTTCCTTCGCTTGCAATCAGCATTGTGACGAATGCCAGGAGCATTCATGCCAGACTCGCACGCAGGACAACCACGCGTGAAAACACGACCACTGGGGGCCGCCTCGCTCACAATCCTCGCTGGAGCCTCAGACGAAGCAGCGTCCCCATTGGCCGGGGGAGGCAAAGGAGAACCCTGAGCCTCCTCCACAGCTCGGTCTTGCCTCGACTCATCCTCGGCTAGCTCAGAAAGAGCTTCACGCATAGCCTCTGCATCCGAAGCCACAGGCACTTCAACGTCCATGCTGTCATCTGTTGCAACTTGCGACCGCAACCACGCTTCATATCTCAAACAGCAAGCCCGACCGTGAGAAGAGCCCTTCCTAGACCCAAATTGTGCCATGTTAGAACACGCTCGGCACTCACCTGAGAACCCATACCTCTCAAAAAACTCCTTTGGCGGACCGGAAACAGGACACTTCAAAGAGGCACCCTGGGAACTCGGAAGAATCCGAGGCGCAACTGGATGATCTGGCCTCTCAGGCCCAAGCTCACCACGACGACGCAAAACTTCAAACATCCCCGACTCGAAGACAAGCTCAATCGGAAACACAAGCTTGATCGACTTGGCAACAAACACCTTTGGCGTCAAGACCTGGCCCACACGCACATGCGCATACACCAAGCTCCCAAGCGACCCAAATTGCGGGTGAAGAAAAGCTGCCGCCTCAAAACGCGACATATTCGGGCACAAAGCCTTCACAGACTCAGGGACCTCAGCAAGCACCTTGGACCCAAACAACGCAAAAGGGGTATCTGGCAACCTTCGACCAACTGCAACCTCCTTTGGAGAGCGTTCACCGCCAAAAGCTTTGCCATTCGAATTCACACTCATGCACAGGTAAGAAAGTGCAAGCTGCAACAAGTCTCTCCGAAACGACAAAACGCAACCAAGCGACTGAAAATCACTTTGCAGAGTAGCTAGCCCTTCTTTAAGGACCCGGACTGTCCTTTCCGCACCACCAAGCTGTTCATGAGCTTGTGGCGCAGCCTTGCGCACCATAAAGATGTACTTATCCGACGCACCTGCAACAAACGACTTCACCGCTTCTTCGGAATCTGTCAAAAGCACAATGCTTGCCTGTGAGGACGACAACCCAAACTCAGCAAGCCACTTCAAAAGAAGACCTCTGTCCTTTGCAATGTTCTCAGTTATCATCACAGCCCCAATAGAAGAAGAAAAGGCCTCACGAAGGACGAGGACCTTGAAAGAGCTACTTGTCTGGCGCTCAGCTACGCTGATCGTCTCTCCAGAAGAGTCGAGAAACATAAAATCTGCAACAATCTCTGTTTCCACTCCGCGCTCAGACTTTCGCCTGTGTTGGGTAACACCTCGGGACTTCAGACAATGCTCGCAATCAGGATGGAAGGGCATGTGGCCCTTTGCTCTGTGAATTTCAAGATCTTCCTTGGTCTTCTGCGAAACAACTGCAACATGTCCAATCGAGGAAATTGGAGCAGGATCAACTGAGGCATCCGACGGCAACAAGAGATCACCTTCTGAATGAGGAATCACGCGGATCCAAGGCGTGTCACACCAAATACAGGTATCAATCATATCAACACCCGACTTCACATGACACACAGAAACGCCTTCATCCAAGACAACACGCCAACCATGCCTTCCAAGAGTTCGCGTTGACAGGATATTGTAAGGAGTGTCACCCACCATCACAGGAATCTTGCAGACACCATTCTTGGTAGCTCCACTTGAATCCTTTGTGCGAACCTTTAGCACAACATGGCAACGACCATCAAAGGGAACAGGAGTCCCATTCGCAGCCATAAACGTCGAACCACATGCAGTCAACTCATCATGCGGAAGCGTCTTCAACGTCACATGGTTGATAACACAGCATGACGCACCTGAGTCAAGCAGCCAAAACTCACTTCCAAGCGACTGACCCAACGACTGCAACAAAGGTTGACACAACTGCTCTTGGAGCACAGCAGACACCGACTCGCTGTCTTCAAGGACAGCTTCAAAACGCGTATTGGGCTCATCAGTTGACTCAATGACACAAGACAACACAAGAGTGGCATCCACCTGCTGTGTCTCTTGATCGTCACCTTCTTCGGTGTAAAAAGATTCATCAGCATCTGTGTACCACCAAACCCCTGTCTCCTCATCAAACAGAGCAAACATTTTTCCTTTCTTTCCTCCTTTTCCTTTGCTCTTGCCTTTAGGCGAAAAAGAAACTTGACCCTTGGCCGCAGCAGCACCTTTGCCATCAGAACCCTTAGGTCTCGCACTCGACTGAGAAACATCACCCTGCTTGCCCTTGGCACAGTTCAAAGATATGTGGCCCATCTCTCCGCACTTGAAGCACTTAACCTTGGAAAGGTCTGCCGTGCACTGATTCACTTGATGCCCCTTCTTGCCACAACGGTTGCACTTCACACCGCTCCCAGCATCAGAAGGCCTAGCACTCATGCCAAAGACGTGACCATCCATTCCCTCACCTGCCTCAGGCGAACCTGCGCTCTCAGAAAACTCGGTTTCATGCAAGCCAAACAAACCTTTGGCCCCTTGCAACTCAAGAAACAAACGCTGCTGATGTTCCCATCGCAAAGCTGAAGATCGATATGAGGCATATATCTCACCCTGCGAATGATGTAACGTATACGCCTTTGCGCTCTCAGGCAAAGACCTCATCAAAAGCGTAAGCTGATCACTGTCAGTCAAAGCAAACCCAGCAGCATCTCTAGGATCTAGCGTCGAAAGTAAACGCACAAACCTTGCCACTGCCACCTCAATCTGACGCACTGTGTCAGCAACTGGAGCTGACGAGTCTTGCGCTCGAAACGTTCTTGCCATCAGCATCGCCCTGAGACTCATAGCCTCAGCACGACTTCTCAAAGAAAACTCCTTGGCAAGCTGCCTAAGCAACTCAAAACCATTACCCATATACGAAAGAGAGTTCCCGAAAACATCTCCCTGCATGGCGACTGCAACAATGTCAAGCCCTTCTCCGAAGCTTTGGATCATAAGAGTTATCCGCCCATGATCTGCAAACGCTGCCTTCAGCACACTAAACAAACGAACTCCTCGCGCTTGTTGACTCTTAGACAACGTGTTCCATGCAATCTGTGTAGGCCATCGCGCGGCCTGAGCGATCTCCTTTCCAAACTCAACACTTGCTTGATTCGCCCATGCAACCAACTCGTGAATATAGGCATTCATGCCCAGCACTTCAGATTCACGCCCTTTCCACGCTTGATGATTTGGCGAAGGTGGAGACCCTAGCCACTTCTCACTGCGACTAAAGACGTCTTTGTCTTCACTGCTCCTCGCATTTTCAGCTGGAACACCAGGTAACGTGTTACCTTGATGTTTCACAAAAGCTGGCACATTCAAACCAGGTGGCGACTGCCCCAATCTCTCAGGAACGAACTGTCCACTCACAGGGACATTCAGTCTTTGGCTAAGATCTGCATACAAGGACTGCAACTCACGCGCATTCATGCGATCAAGCAGCTGTCTCCCTGCACTAGCATTATCTCCAGAAACCTGACTGCAACATCCTTGACTCGGAACTGTCGAAAGATTCCTCGCAGGACCCGAAGCCACTGACAAACCTGGAGCTGGCGCCACTGGCCTAATACCAGCACATGCACTCGCAACTGAAGACGTACCGCTCGAAGGTGGACATGGCATGCTAATATGAGACTCCATCGGTCCCATTCCAGCACGCATACGATTTCCATACAACGCCCAGGGATCTCTCTGAACACCTGTAAACCATGGATCGCTTGACCCAACACCACTCACACCTTCCACACCTGTTTGCCTCCTTTCCTGTTGCCCACACCCAGCTGTACCACACCCATACTCCCCTCCAGCCTCAGCAAGACCTGGACTACACGGAGCTGGCGCCTCAGCACTTGG